ATAAGGCCCGGTTCTGGGTACCTACTCAATTTATGATCTGACATTAGGTAGGTTTACAATATGTGCCGATGATTCAACTATCTTATGAAAATAGTATAGAATTGTCTTTCTTTTAATACTAAAAAACCAATTGACCAAGTGACTTTCATGAAGACGTGGAAATGGACACATTTCTGCAGCACCTCATCAGCAGAATAGATGGTATTGTATGGAATATAACAGAATAGAATAGAACAACAAAACATAAAATTATAAATATGTGTTTATATTGAAAGGGTTACATTTTTAAGAGTGACTTATTTTTGGGAAAGAAAGATTTTGGCTTTCCACTACTCCATCCTGATAAAAAAATGTGGGAATCTTCCGAAGAGAGGAAGGAAGTAATCAATTTTAAAATTAGTAACTCTATACATGGATGTGTAGATCATGTAAAGAAATAACTGGAAGAAAAAGCCCTCCTGAAACAGCTACTTTCATATAAACATCGAAAGAATATATGATTGATCTTGAGTGGGGGAGAAAGTGATATTTTTCTGTTGAAAACTCATGAAGACCTTCTTTTTTACTTTTTACCAGTTAACCAGTTAGAGAGTATTCTTCTACAATTTTATTTGCAGCTGTTGTAGTCTCTTTCTCTCTGGACGTTGCTCCCCATATCAAAATTGTCAGGAGCTTCGTCGGGGAGGGTGCAGCGGCCTAGCTGGAAGGAAAGCTGCCACCCCTTTTTTGACGAACTTTTTCATTATGATAACAATTTGAACTTTTTCATCTTCTTCAGTAAAGATATAATTGGAGCAAACCTATTCCCACGTGGAAATCCGGTCCACCCCGGCCTCTAACCGGCGAGAATGAGCGTGCTATTTATCTTTAAACACTACAACTCAAGTTTACACTAATGCTAATATTTATTTTAAAGCTGGCCCGTTCTATAACGGCGAACAATCACAACATAAACTGAGTTCCATCTACAACAATGGCGTCCGCGTACCTTCTTTGTGTACGATCGTTATCGGTACGTCCGTCCACCACCATATCAGAAACGAATCTCCATCTGTTGCAATCTGTTATATATTATTTTCTGCTACTATTTGGACATGAAAATCGATATCACTCATGAATGAAATGAAGAATAATAGGACCAGGAACACTATGGCACTCCAGTTGAAATGAAAGCAGGATGCGATTTCACTGAATCGATAATTACTATCTGGTGATGAATTTTTTAAATATGTAGAAACTTAGTCATCTCTGACTCATTTTCAATACAATTTTTCCAGGAGTAATTCGTGGTTGCTGTGTCGAAGTGCCTGAAGAGGTAAAACAATAGGTCAATTGAATTGAAAGTATTTATTTTTAGGAGAGAATAATTTTTGGGAAAGTGTTTGGGTGTCTCTTTCTCCATCTTTGGAAGAATCCCACATTTTTGTATCAAGATGGAGAAGTAGACTGAAGTTTGCTTATTATTTAGATTCATGTTATTACGAAACATCACAATGGAGAAGTAAGCCTCAATAAATGAGTGTTTCTAGATAGAGGACTGAAAATAAATGGGAGTTATCTGTATGCAGAATATCATATCACACAGGACAGTATCTGAGTTACGAATCCAACCAAGAGAGAAATCTGAAGATGCTCATTGCGCGTGCATTAAGGCTTTGTAACAGGAAGTAAGTCTTGAACTAGACCACATCAGCAAAACTCTTCAGCAGAATGATTCCGAAAGGTGATGTCAAGTTAAGAGCCCCACAGGAACACAGAAGTCGTCACAAATACTTTTTCTTTCTTATGTCAGGGGACTCTCGGAGAGGATAACAAAAGTTGGGTACCACATTAGACCTGCTTCAGAACACATGTCCGTATTGACGAGCACAAGAAAAAACTAGGCGAGGAGAAACCAGTAAATCGAGAATAGTGGATCATATTTGAATCATCCAGGGAGAAACATTGGTTCAAGAGAAGGTTTAAAGAAGCTGCATATAGTTAAACGACACATTCAGCCAGGCTAGTGTGCTAGCGGTGCACTAATCTGAAAAACCGAGAGGAGAGAGGTAAGGGCACAATCACTCGAGTGGTTTATAAATAGTCTCCAACAGTCGGTTATCAGCTGAAAACGATTGTGGACACTGACAATCGTAACGTAGTTTTCTTCGGTTTTTTTGTCATTTTTTATCATTCCTCAATATTATTTTCTGATGAAAACCCAACTCCTTATACCTCATATAAGATTATATTTACTATGTCGGTTCAGAGGCTACAGTCAAATGTTGAATATGTATGACCTTCTAATATGAACCAGAATGGCCCTACGGCAAACAAACAATAAAACCGCACTCGTAAAACTCCGCTATTATAAGCTCCACTTTAGAACAGAACATTTTCAAGGTCTCTTTGAAACAGAAGCCACACGAATTAAATCTCATTACGTTCCACATTAATGCTGCAAGATCAGAAGCCATTCAGCGAGGTTTACATCATTCACAAATCCGTGAATAATTTGCTATGGTTACAGAAAATTTCTCCATTGAGTTTATTTACGTAACTCCACTAACAATAAGTCAAAAAACCCTTAGAGAACTTCCAGAATTGATTCCGATAAATGTATGAAACGATACATTCGTCAAAGTTTGGATGCGAAAATATTTGTTACTTCTCAAATTAAAAAATTAATACTCGCAGTAAGTTTATTTTTGATAACTATACAGTTTGTTCGATTAGAAAGTTGTCTCTGAACTTTCCCATAATCATTAAAGCTTTTTAAATATGTTGTTACCTTTAAATATATTAAATTTATTAGTCTTTGATTTTTCTTTTTGGTGAATTTTATCTTCAACTGTATACAGAATGAAAAATTATCAATACTCACTCTCATCCAATCAAGAGAGTTGGTGAAAACCCCATCAAGAAGAGTGTTGCGGTTCTGGTGCAATGCCAGAGGTTCCAGTTCTACCGTTCAGTTTTTTTCTGAGATGAGTTAGAAAACTCTGAGAAGAATAATTGATTATTCTTCTTTATTTTTTTTCTCTTAAGGCTTCTCACTAAGACGAATATCATCCTTTTCGGATGATATTCGTCTCACCCGGAGGTGATAACTACATAACGAATATCTTAATTATCAGCCTGAGGGTGGTGAATGAAACTGTGTATCCATCGAATACGACTACGAAAATCTAACCTGGCACCTCTCATTTTTCGATTTCAGACCATTCGATTTGAGGAGAGCAAGGGTCAGGTGCTTTGATAAACCGAGGTCTACACTGTTGTTGAAGAAGGACCCTTGTAGCCACGTGTGTAAGATAATCTCTGCAGCTTTAATGTGGGTTTTGCTGAACGGGTTCCACTACGGTGACAGAGGCTTGGTCACTTTGTTCAGTGTCGAAAACAAAATTGAGTTAGTCGGCCGCTTGCGCAGATGTCTTGAAGGTCATGAAGACCTTCTTTTTTACTTTTTACCAGTTAACCAGTTAGAGAAATGCTCCTTAGGCTCCTGTTTGCAAACTAGGAAACTCCTGTTTGCAAACTAGATAGATGAAAAGTGATGGCTGTGGTTGAGGCTCAAGGTTTGTGACGAACTTAATGCATATTGATATCTATCATCTTTTTCGAAAACGTGCATTTTCGAGAAGTTGTTGTAACTTTCTTTTTGGTGTAAGAAACTTTCCAAAAATGTTATCTTTAAAATACAGAGCTTTTAGGTTTTTTCATGTAGACTTTTAAACGCACACTCTGATCAAGTAGGCTTTGGACGACGCGACTATAAAACAGAAAGAAATTGTCCAATAGTAGCTATCAAATGTTGAGAAAGCTTTCGTAGCAGTTATTAAAACGCATAGTTTCAATAAAACAATTTATACTATAATTTCTAAAAATAATAGAAACTCCAACAATGATAATAATAATGATAAAGAACAAAAATGAAATATATTTTTTCAGATAACGTGTTCGAAATATCTACCTGCTTCTCCTACATACAGGTGACGTTTTTTGCCGAATTAATTAGTTCAATAGGAGTGAGAGAAGCAAAACTTTGCATCACTGCCGCTTCCAATTCTTATCTTGGCTATCGAATTATTACCAGAATTTGCAGTCAAAAAATTGTTGACAATTCCAGTGTTGTGAGGCGAAGCCCCATCTTGTTGAAAATATATTTTTCTGGCCACTAACCATTAATTAACGAAGGGGTTTAAAATTTTGCTTTCAAATTTCTAAATACTGAGATGTAAGAGTGCCATTATAAATGAACGGGCCGATAAATTCACCTTTGAAAACACCTGTCCACACACTAAATCCAAATCTTCCTTGATTTCTCCGCTCCACAATAGAATGAGGATTTTGTTGTGCCCAAGTAAAAGAATTGTAGCGGTTGAAAATACCGGCACTGCTCACATAAGCTTTGTCTGTCCAAATACAATTCAACAAAAAATCACGCATTTGGTTATAGCTTTCCAGGAACCACTGGCAAAAATCCAAGCGGCGTTCAAACTCTCCTAGTTGATGAACTCTTCTGGTCCTGTATGGCTTGAATTTGTGTTTTTTCAAAATCCTCTAAAAGGTTGTCTTCTCTTTGGATACCTTTCGTGATACAAATTGCTTGTTGCTCCTGCATTTTCCCCGGTTTGTGTAAAACAGACTATCAGATCCCATTTTTCATAATTATCACACTTCATTTCAAATGTGTTTGAAAATTGAACGAAAACCACAAATTGAAAAGCGTCTTTAGTGCTTAAATCAAAATTTGACAGGTACCACTAAATATTTGCATTCTGTTTTATCGCTGCATCGTTCAAATCCTTCTTGATCAAAGCGTACGTTTCAACATCTACATGAAACAACCTAAAAGCTCTGTATTTCAAAGATTTCAAATCTAGTGTGCTACATTTTTGGAAAGTTAATTTTAAGCTCTATTGAAATATGCAGAAATATTCAGGGTGTCTCATTAAAAAAATAGTTTTCCATATTTTCAAAAAGTTACCTCAAGCAAAATAAACCTCTGAATGTTTCAGTTTCAGCTCAGAACACCGACAGTTCAGGATCGAGAAAAGTAAGCTCTGGAGGATCAGGTTACGTCAGCGACAGACAGGATGACTTCAGCCCCGGAAAGAACATACGCTGCCCTTCGTGTGGAATTCGTGTTGAAATTCCACCAGAAGGCATCGCTTCCTTCCCCCCGAACTACCCTCTTCAGCACAGGATAGTTCTGGCAGCGATCAATTCCACTTCTACCCATCTCTTGTGCGACATTTGCACCTCCGATGTTTCGGTATGTAGAACAAACATTTTTCACTAAAGTGTATTAGAAATATCCCAAAAAACGGTTTCACCACACACTAGAACTGTGACACGTTTCTCGACGTGCGTATGACCGAAGACGTTGTTTAATCCGATCAAATGAGTTATCAAAACTAGTTTCAAAGAACATGTGACGCATGTTAGATTTCGTAGATGATGACACAAGACTTCTGTTCGAAAGTCTGGACTAACAGATGTTGAAAGTTAGGAATTAGTATATGGTTCACATAGGATCTTTCAGCAGGACTTCTTAACTTTGACAATTGATAATGGCCATCTTGTTGAACCCACATAATATGTCAAATTATCTGTCATGTATTCAGTCTATTTTGCCAAACCATATTGGATAGATATAGAATTCAACAAAACGTGCAAATAACGAAATTGTTTTATCAAAATGGGTGGTCTGTTCGGGCAACGTACCGCGCTTTGCCCATTTCACGGTCGCCATTATCGTGCTACCGGGAGGACGCCGCTATCTGTGAGAGTGTGCCGGAGAATCCGAGGCAGTCGATTTCGCGTCGCTCACAAGAAATCGGGCTTTCACACACCAAAACATGGCGAATTTTGCGCCGTGACTTCGATTGAATATTTTACGGTTTAGGCGGTTTTAATTAATCAGCGTTCCTTTCGATAGTGATATTCGGTTGAATACTTCGTCGGATTAGATTATCAACTGTCGATTTGTCTCTACGGAGGAAATTAGATATCAGTTCTTTTTTTTGGTGGAAAAGGAAGTCAACGTCTCGCGAGTATTAGGGAATTGGTAATCGGAGGTGAGTTCTTATAATTTCACTAGGTTGAATCAGTTTCCTATATTTCATACAGCTCATATTCCTATAATAAAATCACTACAATCATAAATATGATTTTCTAGGCGTTTAACCCCATATATTGAAATCATCTCGAGGGAATAAAAATTACTCGGAAGAGAACATATATCATTCGCCTTCTAAGGATATAATTAAGGGAGTGAACACCCGTTCCTGGAAGTGCAGTACTCCGTACAATCCAGTAATCTGGCTAAGTACCGCATAGCGAAATTTGTTTTTGGTCATTTATTTTGCTTTCCGTTATTTCCACGGGCCAATATCTACATTTAGTAATTATTAACTGGGAACTACTCTCAGCGAATATTGTTTAAATGTTTTCTGTCATTAGTATAAGTTATGCAAGTTTTGTGTAATGTCTTTAGAGGACTGGACGAAGACCTACAATACAGATCTCATCCACTAATCTTCTTTCCTCTCATGAGAGTTTTCGAAGTGCACGAAACCCTCCCATTTCATATCTTGTTTTATTTATTATATATTATTAAAACCCAACATTTGAAACATCAATTTGAATACTTTTCGAAGTGAATTTGAAAAACTCATGAATTAAACTCAACTTTATTTTGTTCAAACTTGCATTTGCTGTAATAACCCAAATTGAGGAACATTCCCCATTCTGGACACTAACGACATGTGGATTCAACATGACGGCGCTACGTGCCAAACACCAGTCATGGAAAATTGGACGTTTCGGATGCGCTCCACCCATATATTCCGCACAATGGCATCAAAAGATATTTTAAATGAATAAAAAATGTCGATGATGCCTCACACACACTTTGTTTCATTGAAATTTAAATATAGAAATCGCTTAAAGAAATGCCTTTTTTTTCTGAAAATATTTGAGTTGCATTCAATTCGATGTAATTGAAACAACGTCTTCGTTTTAGTTGATCTTTCGAAAATATTTGTTTTTTTTGCTGAGACTTTCTATGAAATATAAGATGGTAATTGTATGAGAACATGGGGGGATAAGTGAGTACACCACTGCCTGCGTGGTGCAGCCTAGTACCACTGATGAGACATATGACGTGTCAAAACAGTGTTGTCTGGTGTTGGGTTATGAACGCTTTGTCGTTGGGCTCTGGTTTCATGAACCAGTATATCGTAAAAGTGTTTGGGTTAGACTAGAATATAAAGGACAAACAAAAAATGAAGTAAAAATGTATCCACTTCAATTTTTTAAACGAACTTTATATCAATTATTTATCTGTTTTGATAACTTTCTTGCAATATCCTCTTTTTATTCTAGGCAGTCGCCAGATGTATGGATTGCGCTTTGAGTTTTTGCGAGCACTGCGAAGAAGTGCATTTAAGACAAAAATCTTCCGTCGAACACCAAGTGTTGAGCTTGGAAGAAGCGAGACAACAGGGCATAACGAAAGTGAGAAAGCAGATAATGTGCATGAGTCATCCGGATTTAGAGCTCACCATTTTTTGTTCCTCCTGTTACCAAGTAAGTTGAATGAATGAGTAATATGACACAATACAGGCATTCCAATGCCTAGGTGAAAGTTTTCATTCAAGATAATTGAAATCTAATAACTACGTCATGCAAAAAATTGTTTATTATTTTGAAAATAAATTTGATTTCATTTCATTCGATTTGTTTGTTCCATGAAAACCCAAAGAACATTTTAGCAATCAGTAAATCATAGACGACTACCAAAAGCTTTCAACAAGACAAAGTCAACCTGTAATTGGCTTTCCAAGCAAGTCTGACAGTTGATCTGTTTGAGAGAAATCCATGCTGTTGTGGTATTATAAACCCTTTACACTCCAATATCATTTGTTTAATCACTAAGAAATCACATGGTTTAGGTTCTTCTGACTGATTACTAACAGCCCTATAATTTTCAATATTGCTTTTATCTTAATTGGCTTTGCTTCCAATATTCGGAAAAAATTCAATAACAAACTGTGTTAAAGTTACTTTACGGTAGGTATTGACAAAATAAAAATTGTGGTTATATCATCAATATATTATTTTTTATAAAACTGATATTAACGTTCATACTTCCATTTTATTTTTACATCTGATTCCACTACTTATATTCAATCGTTTGTTTTGTTTTGAGACATTCCTTTTTTCGTTCGTCTAATAAAAAATGTTCACCAATTTGTGAGACATGTGTTCTGGTTGAACTCTCTCACCGAGAAGATAATAAGAAAACGTGTGAGACTGCCTGATGCCAATAAATCAAAGTGATTCTGTTAGATGCTTCCTTCTCGTGAATCTCACGTTGACGTTCAACGTTGTATAAAAAGACATTTTTTAAATTGAATAATTTTAAACTGAATTTTTTTATGGTTAAATTGAGCCAATAATTTTCAAAATAGCTTTGCACATTTTTTCTAAATTCAGTATGTTAGAACTATGACATAATTAATAAAAATCAGTTGTGACAATCTTTTCGTTAACATTTCATCAGGATTTCAACAGAACGTGGCAATTTTAATAATACTGATTTCTATCCAAATTAATTCCAAAATTGGCCAATATATGGAATGATATTGAACTGGATTTGTGAACCAAGTTAAAATTTTAACATTGTAGAAAATGTTAGCTTACAGTCTAATCACAGCCTTCTCATAAGCGCTAAAATGAGATACAGTATAGTCGAAGTAAACGATATTGTGCACTCTTAAAGTTGGCGGCACTCTCAAAGGCTAAAAAAACCAATACATAGTAATTTTTACTAACCAAGTTTATTGATTGCCTGAGGAGTCATAAAATTAAATTTGAAATCATGTTACGGTGACGAATAGAAATCGGGAATGCGGGGATGGTTATCGCCGTCGTGTTCAGTTCAGGAACTAATCGCGATTTGAGTGTTGAAATTCGATATCGGTGCAGTTATAGTTACTTACAATTTTTGTTATCTGCTTGAAATGTGGCGTCCTTGAACAAGTACTAATAGTAATACCTAACGAGAAATAACGAGTGTGATAACAACGCACCAGTGTGGTGATTCCAATAGCGATGATGAACAATGTGAAAAAGATATCAGTGAATAAGATTATGATGCATTTGAATATTGAAATACAGAGAGTATGTTTCAATGTATATAAGAATCTATATCTTAAGTTTGGTTTCGAGGGAAACAAACCATTACAAGCAACATCAGATTTGACCGAAATTCGTTTCTCAATTGTACGTAAAATAGTCAAAAACAAACCTTATGAACGCAAGACAATGTGATACAGGATTACCAAAACCTTTAGATGTCCATCTAATAAAATAATTGAAAAAAACAATATACTACTGTTACAAAAGCAATGAGATTTCTACAACTGAAATCACAAGGAAGAAATTGAATACAGCCATAACGTGAGCTGCTGTGACAAAACTCTTCACAATTGGATAAAGAAACTAGGATTCAGATTTAAAATAATGAACAAACGTCAAGCAGTTATGGAAAGCAGAAGAATAGTGGAATTGCGTAGCAAATACTTAGAACAAATAACTAAATAAAAACAAGAAAAACGGCAAATTTTCTATTTGGACGAAACTTGGTATGACACTCACGACACAGTTACGACAGGGTGGACTGATGGTTCGAGAATGTGTACACCTAACATGCCTGCAAACAAAGGATCGCGACTAATCCTTGTGCATTGCGGAAGAAGTGAAGGACGGGTTCCGAATTCTTCGAAATTTTGTGGAAAAAACTTGAAGACTGCAATGTTGACTATCATAAGAACATGGAAGCTAATATTTTCGAGGAATGGTTTGAAAACACATCGATCCCAAATTTGGATGCGAATAGTATGATAGTTCTTGACAACGCTTCCTACCATTCGCGACAGTTCATCAAAGTACCGAATGAAAATTCGGAGAAAGATGAAATACAAAGTTTTTTTATGGATAACAATTTGTATTTTCAAGATTACTATACCAAAAACCAACTAATTGAAGTTTTACAGACAAACACATTTGAAAAAGTGTATGCCCATGAGAGTATTGCTGAAAAGTATGGACACACCATACTGAAACTTCCCCTCTATTTTTGTGTTTTCAATCCCATCGAGTTGATTTGGGGAAAATTGAAACAAACCATCAGGCGTAAAAATAATTTTCCAAAATTTGATAAGAAGGTAATATAGCTAATCAAAGAAGAAGTGTCTAATCTTACCGAAGAAAATTGGCAGAAAAGGATTAAAAACCCTATAAAAACGATCCTGCTGACAAAGCTAGCACAATCACTTAACCTCACTTATATAGACTTTTTCAACGATATCGGATTTAAGTTGAAATATAATTCTTTTCGGTTGAACTTTTTTCAAAACTTAAAATCCTACATTAAAAATTTTTATCTCTCATATTGTCATTTTTATGGAAGGGTCAATTGAATTAGCAGTCCAAAATTTGTTCAGTTATATATTTTTATGTAACTATCGTTCCTTTGTTTTAATTTCAATACATGCGAGAATATACTTTTTTAATTTTTCAGGAAAATATTTTAAAAATAAAATCAATCTCTATGAAGTTTTTCTTCAAAACCGTTCGTCAATAAAATTAATTTTATTCCTTCTTTTGGCAATGTATCTACCGAATGTGGTTTACGTCTTCTCTAATGTGAATTCGTCTCAGGATGTTTATGTTTATTAGGATTTCCGTCCTTGTATGTTAAAGTTAGACAAGTCAGACAGCTTGTACTCACACATGTTCTCAAAATGAGTAGTTACGAGGGTTAGCAGATAATTAATATTAAAGTTGTAACATTTTGAAATTCCTTTAGTTTACTCAAACTCTTACTCACTTTTCTAAAAACACAAAGTGAGGAAGATCAACCGATACTAATTGAAACCATTTGATCGAATGTGAAGATCACATATACATGTTATAAGCTTATTTTTGTGATGAACATGTTTCTGCTGGCTACAAAATGGGAAAATCGCCATGCTTTCTGTTTCACAAAACTGCTAATTACAAACTTTAACTTTGGGAATAGTGTAGGTACTATATACGGCCCTCAATTTTTTATTTGAGAAATATACCCCTCGTTGCTCTGGGAACAATGATAACATTGAAAAATGAAGTCTTTTTTTCAGTTCTCTGTCTGGTGTGTATCTTAAAAAAATAAAAACATTTTGCTGTTTCCGAAGGACAGAGGTAAATTTCAAAATTTTGTCATTGATTGTATTATCATTATTGTCTCGAAAAACATCAAATGATTGATTAAATAATAATACACTGAAAATACAAATTTGAAGAAATAATAACATATTGAACATGAAGACAATAGTAAAGTAATTACTTTATGCTGATATGAATCCCATTAGATTTTAAGAACATTTCGAAAAAGTTTCCGGTTCAATATTTACGAAAATATCAACACATCAATAAGTTCTGTGAAAATATTTTGAAAACTATGATAGGGAAATATTAACTGAATAACTACTATCATTTATAATTTACGAAACCATTGGAAATATCGAAAATTGTTGTAGGTACGAAAATTTCATTTATTCGAAAAAGTTTTTTAACAATATTCGGACATTTTTTTCATGTCTATTCGGATGTTTTTGAACTAAGTGAACTTTGATGAATCCGATTTCGTGGACGAGAGACAAGTTGGACTTGAAAATTTTCCCTACTTGGGACAAGTTGCAATTAAGCATTGAAAATATAGAAAAAATATTTCAGACCCTTTTTGTTGAGTTGAAGGACAAAACGAAATAACGAATATTATTTTCTTCATATCCTACCATCCGGGTGTACTTATCAAAAAATAGTTACTTCATAACGGCAATTATTCACATCAATAAGTACCTACTACAACACAAAAGTTTCATTTAGATGTCCTTTAGAAACAACTACCTTTATATGAGAATTGAATTACACAAAAATCACTTTTTTGTCAAAGTCATAGTTCAAGAACTAAATGACAGACACCCAATATATCATGTTTTCTTTCAAGAATATCGGGAACGACCTAGAAAACTCTTCTGTTCATCTCATTAAGTTCTACATGAAAATATGTTATGTCTTATTTTTGAGTCAACAGTTCAGAAATATTTTGATAAAAATTTCAAAAGAGCTGAGTATTCACTCAACATATACATAGTGATAGAAACTATGAATGACCGCTTTCAGGAGCCTCGTTTGTCTTTGATTTTTGTGGATTGATTCTTCTGTCGATTCCATCGATGGTTCATAAGGAAAGATACCATCACCTCTACTTTCTTAGGCTTGTTTTTTTGGGACAATTCAGTTCACAAGGCATTCGTGGTCCAGTCTAGTATCACTGATGAAACCTTGGCGGGTCCAAGTAGCGCTGCCTGGTGTTGCATCACATATTTCAACACTTTTCAAAATAGGCAACTTCTACGTGAGGTCATCCTTCTCAGATAGACTAGTTACAGTTATTCATTAATATTCATGTAAGTTATGTCACACCCTTGTGTCGAAGGTCATCTGCAGAGACTGCATCGCCACATCCCATCGAAGTCACGTCTACGAGCCCGTCTCAAGAGCTGCCAAGATCCACTTCGCCAAGCTTCGACTAGCCGCCGAAAGGGCCAAGTCCGTCGTAGAAGAGTCTGCCTTGGCCGCCAGCAAGTTAACAGCCACCTCGAAGAAACTCGAAGCCCAGTGCTGTCGGGTGCAAGGGGAGGTGGACAAGTTCATTGAGGAGTATGTTCGGTCGGTGGAAGAACACAAATTGAGGCTGTTAGAGCAGATCAAGCAGGTGAGAAAAATAAAACTTTTTTTTTGCTGATTATGTCGTTTATCATTATTATTTTTATACCAGAAAGGTTGCGTCTCGGGAACCATTATACCGATAACACGTCTACAGTAGACTAAGATAGATGCTGAAGACACCGCAGGCTATGATGACCCCCTCAGGTTTCTTATTATAGTTCATTCGACCTGAAGAAAGCGAAAATCAGGTGTTTTTATATGATTATTGTTGAAAAAGACATCATACATCTAACCTTGTGGATGAATATCACTTTCCTCATTAGATATGGACCTCTTGCTGAACAGAATCCAACTAGGTAACGGAGTTGAGGTCACCCCGTTTAGTCTCAAAAATTAAACCAAAATCATCGATTGCTTGGGCAACTGCCTTGAAAAGGACGATACAGTTCCTGCTTCGAAGGGGTACCAAAGGGGTAAAGTAAGATCGAAATTTTTGTCGTAGCAACTTCGTTTTCCACAACAGATCTGTTGGAGTTTGTGCTAATACTTGCATCTAAAAATATACGTTACTGTGGTTATTTCTAGATGATGCGGGATACTTCCATCCACGATCTGCACATCATCTCTGGAATTCCCACATAATCCTCTTTTGAAATGGATCGTTACACATTTTTCTATCAAAATTTTATACCGATAGCCTGCGTGTACGCTTCTTCCACCTTTAAGGACTGAAGGAGATAATTGTCTCCACAGATATGAAGTTGAAAGTCATCCATGACCCCTCTCTCGAGAGTACCACAGTTGAACCCTCGAGTTTTTCTGAGCGCAACAGATGATATCAATAGTGAGATGCAGAAAAGATGCATTCCAAGAAAATACAACTTCTGAAAGTTACTCATCCTGTTTGGACTCAAGTCGGATCAGTATTTTTGGTGAAGTGGGTCCTTCAGAGCAATGCCAGTTGTTCGAGGGAACCGCAAGATGGCTCATACGATATTGGATTAAATATCTTGAGGTAATTGATCAAGGCTAGAGACAGGCTTGCGAAATATATCTGTCGATGAGTAGGTTCTCTTTATATCCAGCGACCCTTTTCTGCTCATATATTTCTTCGACTGCCGAATATATGGAAGATGCCCGAAAAAGAGAGAACCATCAATGGCTACTTGCAAAGAAATGTCTTAGAGTAGATGGAGAGCCACGAACAAAAACTATCTGACAAGCCATGGTTACCTATGATTTAACACGTTCAATCGGTAAACTCTCGTGTCAGAGGCTTCGAAATAATGAAATATGAAAGGGGATCAGCTGTTAGCAGTTTCTTCAAAGAAAGGTTAATAAGATTTTTCTAGGTTTATCTACAGTGCCTGCCTGAGATGGTTTGTGGTGCATGTTAGGCTGACCTCCCTTTTCTCTCTTGAAGGGCCTCTAATGTCTTTTTATTATTATTATTTTCAGGTTAGAGAAGAAAAGTTGCAGAGCATCTCCGAAGAGAAACTGAAACTGCAACAACGAATGAAAGACGCCCGGGACATCGCATACTTCCTTGATGATCTGTTGAACGACGGTTCTGAAGTGGAAGTGTTGAGTTTTTTAAACCCTGTCATTTCTAAAATCGAAAAGTGCAACTTCGAGCGGACCCAAGATTTGAAGGTGTCGGGATCCTTGCAGTTCTTGAGAGAAGAAGCTGTCAAGTGTCCGAATAATTTCTTCACAGTGTACGGAGTATTGACCACACAGAGTGTTTGGCCAGAACGTTGCCAGCTAAATATAGAAGGTGAGTAAAGTATTAGAATATCGTTGAAGATTAACGACAAAAGTATCGTAACCTTTTTTGGGCATATTTTTCCAGAAACATTAATATAATCTTTATTATCTTGTTTTTATTACATAGTTACCAACTAAATCCAGATATAAAACCTTCAACGTGGTGATAATGGATTCAGTTTCTACCAGAAGCTTTGACGATGTTCATTTTATACAGTGAACATTTTGCAGAAATAAATTAGATTTTTCCGCATGTGTATAATACAGCGACCTGATCTATAAGTCAGAAAAACTATTTTGGAACAACTGTGGCCTCTTCAAACTCTTCTTTCATATCTTGCTTGTTTTTAACAGCAATAAAAAAACGCGCTCTTCATCAGTTTTTGTCTCTTGTCTATCTTCTATGTGGTATTCTTGTCGTCGACATTTATCATATATACCAAATAAAAAAGTATTAGTCGGTGCCTCATGTATGCATTTCTACTTCTTTAGACAGAATTTCAACCTTTTTGACTCTTTTGGAATCTTTTTCGCCCTTATATCACCGCATGCCCTACTAATTATAATTACCAATGTTAATATTCTGATTCACCATTAAATTATTTTTCACCATCGAATCACAAGCAACTCAGGAAAAATGTGTTAGTGAGATAACCAAAGTAACAAGCAGCATAGTTCTACACAGTTTTTCTGCCATCCAGTATAGTAATTTGTCATATTATCTGTTGAAGTCTCTAGATTTCCTCGGTAGCAATTTTCTTCACATTGTGAAAGGAATAAGGGACCAGTAGTATATTAAGGCTTAAATGATGACCGGTTAACAAGGTGAGACATCCACACATCGGCTATTATGAGTTCTGTACCATCAGAGTCATTGTGAAGTTGAAATTAGTCTAAGCGCTTTTATCGTATTGTGACAATGAAAAGTTTATCTTCAAAATTCCATCTGTCGATGATTCAGAACGAGCTATATCACAAATTTTCTTTCTGTGAATATCTGCTGGCGAATGATTTCTGTTTTTTTTTATTTTCTACATTTCCATATTCTTTCGAAGGAATATCAGCTACTCAACAAGACTGAACAAATCGCGAACGTGTGGTCCCATGCAAACAGTAAAAAATATATTTTATAAGTACATACTACATATATGACAATTTCCACTATGTACAGTTTTATTGATAACTATTATAGAAAGTGAACTGAGTCATCAGTAGATTAATTCTCGAATAGTAGCTTGAGAGCCAAGACAAGAGATCTACTTCAAAAACAATATACCCGGCAACACTGAACAATCCGCTCTTCTCGTGAGATTTACTCTTCATCTGCGGTGGATTATATTACGGCTTTATTGTGAAAGATTCGATCATATTGCTCGCGACATTTTAATAACATTGTGAAGGGTTTCGCTGACTTTGCTTTTATAATGACATAACAGTTATTCATTATCGCAAAATCACAAATGTCATAAACGCTTCTGTCTTTACGCAAATCAAAAAACATGAAAATTGGGCCAACATTTCTGTTATAAATCGTGTAAGAAACAAGAATTTCCCATTTTGTTTTATATAAAAGTTAACATTTCCTGAGCTAGCTTTTTTGTGTAATGTTAATGCTAGTATTCATTTTTGATAATAAATAACTGTAAGAAAAACTTAGGTACTAAGTTTTATATTCTTGGCGTGATAAAACATTTGTGATATATTTAAATTTGTCCGAAGTTTATGTCAACCTGTCATCTTTATCTAGAGGTGATATTTTAAGCCTCGTATTGACGACATTTCCCATTCACTACACGGACTATTTCAATCAATCTTTCCTTTAATAAAAGTAAGATGTTACACTACCCATAGGCGTTCTATACAAGAACGAACATTGAAGGATGAGTTGAGTAAGAGAGTAAGTAGCAAGTTGATATATATTGTTATTTAGAATTTATAAAACTTACAGCATACTTACAGCATACATGTCACAAAATTTTGCAGTATGCATTTTTCGGAGTGTAACATTTTTATGAATAATTCGAATAAAATTCAAAACATTCAGCGCTCCCCCAGACTGTGAGTGTTAGCGAATGCATGCTAGAAAACTGCTATTTCCCTGACTCATACTACTACGGATATTGCGTATAACATCTGACTGGCATTTGTACCAGTGCTTTCTCAATATTTTCATCTCTCGATATTGGTTATTAGGCTGTAAGGCCCCACTCATCGTTTTGAGTCGTTTTGGAAAATTCGATTCTAAAAATAAAAAACAAAATTCATCAGCTTCAATTTTCTGTCAAATTTATATAAAATGCAACCAGGATACAATAATATTACCAGTTGACAATGAAAATGATTGTAGACCGCGTTTGTCAATCTCATTTGTAAGGTATATAGTTCATCGAGGGCGATATTTTTAATACCAAAACCATTGAACAATCTTTTCAGATTTTTCTTCTGTAGAATGTAACCATGAACCTTTTGAGTCTAAACACAGACATAATGTACACAGTGCATAAACAGTATGATTTAAGAAACTGATATGTAACCGTATAATTATGACGTAGGTAATTTTAATAAATGAGTATGATGCATCCTCTTTCAAAGAATCTATCTCCGACAATGACCACCGAATGAGAAATCGCTTTCTGTGTCTTTTTACAGCTTTAACTGCAGTCATTAATATAGTGTTTAACATGAAGTAATTCAAGCTGAAAATTTCTCGTTCTTAGGTCTGCAAAATCTACGAGTAGGAAAACGAGTCGAAGTCCTTTTAGAAACGAGAGACATAGACGATAACCCTCTCGAAAGGGGAGGAGAAGAGATAATAGCCGAAATACATCGCAGAGATGCCGGCAATTCCAGAACTTTAGGAGTTACCGTGAAAGACAGGAGAGATGGGACGTACTTCATATCGTTCGTACCGGATGTTCCTGGAAAACTGATCTTGAGCGTTAGTATTAGAGGGCAACCCATAAATGTAAGCATCCACAAGAGTTGTTGACATTTGAAAGATACAATATATCTGAAAATATTATAGGATAGGTTGCCTTTTATGTTTCGGGATTTGGCAACCCTAGTGTTGCAATCTGGCAACTGATAGATATATCGTAAAGTTGGACATTTTTGAGCTTATAGGTACTCAGAACATTTTGACATACGCGCGCTATTTGTGTTATTTACAGTAACTTAAAAGATTCATCTCGGCCCAAAAATGGAATTAAATTGTGAACATTTTTGTGCGATTATTTTTCACAACTTTCGACGTAGATTAAGTCAGCAACAGTGCATGGATGAACTTAATTCAATTTTTGGCGATGAAGTTCCATCAAAGACCAGTATTTATCGATGGTATGGTGGATTCAATCGTGGTCGTAGTTCACTCCAAGACGAATTTCGTGAAGGTTATCCACACATCGGCTCAAACAACTGCATTTTTGAGCACCCAAAACTACAATTTGATGAGTCATCCGCCGTATAGTCCTGATTTGCCACCGAATGACTGAGAGGTCAAAGTTTTTCGACACCTGAAGAAGCGGTTGCTGCATTCAGAATGCATGTTTTGGAGATACCTCAATCAGAGTGCCAAAAGTTCTTCGACAATTGGTTCAAACGCATGCAAAAGTAAATAGATCTTCATGGGAAATATTTTGAAAAACAATAAAGTGATTTTAGATGATTAATATTTGTTTTTGTTCTCTAATCCCTAAATATAAAAGGCAACCCTCGTAGGTACTTTATAGAGTGTAACTTTTCACGGCTGATGATGATTCCGTCAAATCTATTTTCCGGATTTGTCTGTAAGTTTTTATGAATAACGACGTCTCCACAATTCATACCACAAATGGACAACTACAACACTGCGTCCGCTGACTCATCGTTTGTGATAATGCCTACCGCAGTTGAAGACGAAACGTCAATAATAAAACCTACAGACCATAACCAACAGACCCGAAAAATAATTTTGAACCTAATTTATTTGAAGAAATAATGATGAAAAGAAATATATTATGAATTATCTAAAGCCTTTTCAAAATAAAACAATCAATGGTATTTTCCAGTTTACCTTCTTTAAAATCCACTTCGGAATTATATCTGTAGACCATGAAACTTCTTAGAGCTTGATTTATTTATAATGAAAATTTGACTTTTCATTCATTCTACAGAATATATTTATAAACATTTCTCCATTCTGATACCAAAATACTCATAATCATGATACCCGGGAGTCCAGTAAAATCATTATACTCTCATGGAATAAGCGTTTACAATATTTCAACTAGTTTATTTACTCATGATCTCAGAATAATTTTTTTTCTTTTTTTTGGTAATGTAGAAGGTTAAATTGAATTAATTTGATTTTGGAAATAATGTCACATTCAAAGCAATTCATGATTTCTTTTTTAACGTAGCTGATAAATTACAGTTAAGTAATTCTAATAATAATATACTTTTTTTCGCCAGCTTACGCGTTTCTCAAAGTTAGAATTGAATTTCAAGTGAAACGGGACAATCATTACCATTGTTCGCAATAAATGATTTTTTTAATAACCAACTGTGAAGGAATTGATCATATTGCACGTCATTTCACTTTACAGGGAAGTCCTTTTCCATTTACGGTTAGAACTATAAGGCAACATACAGGGACCTTCCATTGCTGTTCTTTCTGCTCGAGTGGTGGAAGCAAAGAAGCTACTTGTAACTGCGAGGGAAAAATGCCTGGAGGGTGAGTTGAAGGTGATATATCTGTAAAAAAGTGTACAAGCTGAAATGATAAACAGAAATAATAGTAATGCGGCCCTAAAAGTACTTTATTACCACATGTAGCAGCATATGAGGATCATGTACTTGAAACTAAAAAATCAGTGGCGGTTGAGAACGAGAGACGACAAGAAAAAACAATTTTGTTGGATTACGAATGTATTATGACAGGTTTGACGTTTGTAGTGAGTCGAATATCATACGAAAAGAGGAGAAATATTGGATGAAAAATCGATATTTACTGTTCGAACCCCGCAGACTCTATCCCTATCATTCCGTTAAGATGGTTGTTCTGAGTCCTGAGTGGGATAATGCATTTTCTACTGTCGAATCTCAAGATCATGCCGACTTGCCTCACGATGGCCGAAATCTTGGCCGGACAAATGCTATCACATTGCGTCTGCTTAAGGCACATGATTCTCGAACCCAATGATCACTTGCCCCTTGGGAGTGGGGAGTGGTCATTGGTTAATAGTGCTGGCGCGACTGTGTCGGAGTTTCGGGGACACGGCACGACGAGCTGACCCTTTGGGAAAAAATTATGATGGTATTAATTCCACTGGTAACACAATTCTCGGACTCAATGATCACTCACCTCACGGTGTGAGGAGTGGTTATTGATTGGTAATTTTGGTGCACCATTCGAATGTGTCGGAGCTAATAGTAATGAAAAATTTCAACTATTATCTTTCACCGTTATGCAATTTTGGTACTTTTTTGAATAACTGCCTTTTCAATAAGACAAATGAAGTTCTGAAAATTTTTCCATCATCAATTGTTGAAAATCAAATATTTTTTATAGTACTCAAACTTTGAAACATATTCTAGTACATATTTTTTGTTCAAGAATTTGAACTATCGAAGTTAAACATCTTGTCTTTCAATGTTAAAGACTGTTTTGCAATTTTGGTACTATTTTATAATAACTGCGTAAGACGAAGTTCCGAAAAGTTCACCATCATCAGTTGTTGAAAATCAAATATTTTCAATGGTACTCAAACTTTGAAACATATTCTAGTACATATTTTTTGATTATTAAATAAAAACAATAATATAAATCTGCTTTGAAGAGAAACTGCAATAAAATAATTCATTTCATATTTCTGGGCTACTTTCGCTAGTTAAAATCCGATTCATGTTTTTTCAGATATAAGGGATGTGGCCATGGACACGACGGTCATCCTGGAAGAAGACATTGGTCCTGTTGTGGAAATATTCTTGAACACTCTGAATGTATTAGATTAAATCATTCTCTTTATCAAATTACTTTGTAAGATGTTTATTCAAGTCATTTGTATATAATTTCATTCGTGAAGTAAAGAAAACTAGTATTTAGCTACCTATAGATACTTTCTCTTCTCCCTTCCAACATATAAAACATATTCGTCAATATACATAAAAAGTTATGAATGATGGAATTGGCTGATATTTATTCACGAAACACTTTATTGTGAGATATTCACTACATAGTTTTACAAAAACATACGTGTTTCACTATACAATAACTATACAACAGTAGAAACACGCCATCAAATATGGATGATACTTGATGAAAATTAATGATAAACGTATTTAATAACATTTAGTTATTACGAGATTTTCTGAAATAAGTTTAAAAACAGCATGTTTCGTTATACACCAGTTTTTTTGATATGTTTACCACAGTATTAAACATGGTATTGTAAAAAGTAACACGTGTTGCGGTTTTGTTAAATATTGTGTGAAAATCGCACAATAGGTGTTATCTATCACATATAAAATCTATTACATATAAAACAATTGTAAAAAGTTTCATTTTCAAAAGGAAACGGCAGTATCAATACCTCACTTTAATCACGTCATTCAGTTGACTATCGTGCACTGTCGAATATAGGTACTCAACAAAACACATTGAAAATACATTTATCAATGATATGCAGATTGTTCAATAAAATCATCAAAAATTGATTCATTTCAAGATGAAATATTGAAGAGGAAACAAATGTCGTATGCCAAAACATAGCTTTTGAAAAGTATCATTGATCCAAGTTTCGAAAATAAAAATAAGTTTTGAAATATAGAGGTATAGTCATTTTTTACAGTCACTCTCTATTATTTATTACTGCCATAGATAGCATAGTTAATTTATCATAGATAACAGATAATTATCATAATAATATCTATGTCACTGACTAGTCTTAAGTAATTAAAACGGTTTTTTGTGGAAGATGGTCTGAAGAGCATTCCAACATGACAACCTTTAGGTTATTGTGAAACTAGACAGATGGTAAATCTACATCTCAACCCTAAGGCTCATAAAATTACTTCTCTTCCTTAGTTTGAAAAGTAAACAAAATCTATTTTAGATTTGCTGAAAAGGGATAGGAAAAGTGGTATGGCATTCTAATAAACCAATACCAAGAGAAGGTGATAAATTTTTCAATTAGAAACCTTAGATAATATAGCCCCTATTTCATTGATGGGCTCACTTAAGCAATTATGATTAGCACCCACTAATCGATCGGACACTTAGGTTTATTTATATCTGATGATTATTTGCAATAAGAATATTTAGGAAGAGCTGATGTAAAACATATGTAATACCTAGCAAAGGCTACGTATTCTAGTATTAATCTTTTCGAGAATATGAAAATTCATTTTAATTCAGAAATTTCAACGACAAGCTTCTCGTCTAATAAAAGTTAACGACGTCGGAGGGTAACACCATCAAAGTTAATAAAATTTATCATTTATCGAGCGGTCAGCCGTGAAATGTTTATAAAAACCAATTGTGGTTTTTCGATAGAAGCGTAGTCAGATATATAACCACGTATTGGGAATGACAAAAGACAGACGAAAATATATCAGCTTAACTAGGCGAAATATAGGTTTTCCTTAAAGTACTTCGCGTATGGGCCCGTTTGATCTCAACTAACGCGGGACCATAGGCTAAAATAACCTCTCGCAATTGATCGAGGGAGGTTACGAAAAATTATGTCAGAGTAATCGCGATTCCTTGGATTTTTTTTAAACAGTTGTCACGGGGAGCCAAGTCGAAAACAGTCATTGCGAGCTGGTCAAGTGCTTCAAAAAAGGGTGTATAATATTGGAAAACGGGAGATTGACGCGATTTTAAACTATTTATTGAACTGTTCAATCTAAGGAGTAGGTAGACACATTGAGATCTTAGAGAGAACTCATGACAAGACCTGAGGAGTAGGCAGTCTGAGGTCCCGGCGTCAAGTCACATCAATTTTTTGAAAATGTCTCCAAAATGGGAGCCGAAATGTCGAACACAAAACTCCAGAGCAGTTCAACTCGAACTCAACGACCCTTAATAAAGTCACAATAACGACTTCACAAGCTGCATATAAGTCAAGTATACAGCACCAGAAAACCAAAATGATAAGAGGAGCAATCGAAATTGAGAAGATCGGCGGTCTAAACAAAAGAGATGACCCACACTATTTCTCAGTTGCGTGGAAATACTTAATATCTAAAACCAAGGCAAGTGCACCACCGACAGAAAACACACACACATACTTGTACATATGCACATACACACCAAATATGTGTATGTGTGCGAGAGGAAAATTCACTAAGAAAGTAAAATAATGATCGAAATTTATAATATGATATAAATATTAAAAATGTCTTTGTAGTTCCAATCTATTGGAGTAGATTTACAGCCTACAAACGAACAGACCGCCACATTTAGTTTTTTTTAACAAATGAACAAGTATTTTTTGGTTTGACAGTCGTCTCACTTGTGCAATTTGCTTTGACATTTGACAAAAAAGATGAAACTGAATTGACACGAACGAAAATATCTCAGAATTTATAGTTGTCCTTCTAGTCCAGTTTTCCTCCCCTCAAAAAAAGACAATTCGAATTCTGAGTAAGTAATCTATGCGTAATTCCGATAAGTATTTCTAATAATATGTTAGAAACTCAAAAGTTCAGAATAGGTTAAGACCATCTGTCAACTTTCTTTTTGGTGACTCACGTAAAAAATCTTTTCATATATTTTGAGATGAATTGCAAAAAAATTCCCATGTATCACTACTTCTTAGGGACAACACCAAAACGAACATGTCTTCAAGTCTGTCCTCGCGATTGAAGCACCCCAAGAAGCATGAATTGGTCAAGTCGCACAGTCAGGCTCAAATTTTGGCCAATAAATTGAGGCAGGACGGGCTTATGTCCACAGGTAAGTGTAAAGTTGTCTAAATATTTTTAGAAAGATGATTGAAAATGTGTTCGAAATAGATATATTTTCAATGGAAACCACTGTTTATATTTTCAGTGGTTTTTTTGTTTTAATGTAAACCATGATAGAAATACTTTCAGTTGAGTTTTCAAAGAGATTAAAACCCAATGTGGTACTTAGTTGATCACTTTAACGACTTGGATAAATTTGAAAACTATTTTTTTGATACCGTATTTTGTGTACTGATCATGAGTCGGGAATCAGAACTTACCTATCGGATATATGTTCACTCAAAAGTTGAAACTAAAGGAAATTTACTCTTTCAGGAACCTATATTTGTTAACAAAAACCCTTTAAAAAAATCCACAATTGCATGCCGAGGACCTTGATTCATTCATTTCAAATGATATCATTGAAGAAAAAACTTCTATTTCACCAAAATATCTTTTTCTTTAAATCATGAAATGACCACTTCAGACGAGTTTATTTAAAATTGTTGACAATATCACGGAATGTCAGAAATCAAGAAATTGCGCCAAAATATATCTCCAGGTTTTGGTTCTCAGGTGATTTCAGGAGAAATGGAATAACAAAATTCAACAAGCTCGTGTTCTAACTCACCAGAAATGTTGTATTTGATAATATATAGCCTCTGAAGGTTCTACAACTCAAATTGGTTCCACAACTGAAATTAAGCAGTGGATTACATACATGCTGAGTATGTAATGCACAGGAAAAAATTCTTACCTAAAATTTCAGTCAATGGTGCAAACCGAATGTTCAGTGATAATCATGAAACAAGGAATATTTGGAAGATGTATTGCTTAACTGACATAAAATGAGTAATTCTGAATGTTTTGCAAATTTATAAAAATTCATTCAGAAATCGCGACGATAAGTCATTGTCTAATTTTGTATATATTACTTATGATGCCATAAACCACAAAAAAAATATTATAGAGAATGCAATTCCAAAGGTGATATCTTGGAGTCTCTGCAACAACAGTCTGTCAATAGTAATATATTTGATATCACATTCATTTCTAGTTTAATTTTGTAACACTACAAACAGAACCAAAGGAAAGATCATGTAAAATTATCATTTGATTTCATTAATAATTTTTCTCAAAACAGTATGCATTTTGCTAAGAAAAATACAATCTTTAGGATGACAAGTGAATTAGCATCCACATGCCATCATGAGAAGAGGGTGTCATATTAGAAGTTTTCATAACCAGAAGTAAGTTCATGAAATAGTTGATTTTTTCTATTTCTGAGTGAGTGTGTTTCCGAATGTAGACCGGAGTGTCAACTGAATCATTGAGATGAACATTTATCTTAAACAGTGGAGAAGAAGGAATTGAAAATATTCTAAAACAGATATATACTTTTTCCTTTAACACACTGACCAAACTATGATAGACATACTTTCTATAAAATTTTTTAAGAGATCAAATTTGTGATATAAACAAAGTCACTTATGAATATTCTAAAATGTTTTTCCATTCATTAGATGATTCATTTCTTGCTAGAAAACTTAACTTTTTTGAACAAACTTGAAAAACAAATAAGATTTTAAAGTATCATGAAATAATTTTTATAGCCTCTAAAAAAATAAACTCTTTACCATGTAAACACAGTAACTTTTAAAATCATACTGGAAAATGGTTCATTCAACAGTTGAAAAATTCTGCCAAGATATATAACTAATGTTGATAAAATGCTCCTGATCTTACATTTAATTTTTAGAAGTTTTAAAATTCATATTGATCTGTTTTATTTCAGTTGAAGATGTTCTTCAAGCTGTTGATCAAGTTGCAGCTCTACTGTCCTCAAATATTGCAGACAGTAAACTTTCGTATAAAGATAGCGTTATAAATTTATGCCAACATCTGAAGGTGAATAATTTTCAAGGATTTACTAATCTTTATTGCCTATTCAAATTTGTGGTTGCTGATATTTACAAATTTATATGTGATGAAATTGTCCAAAACTTGATGAAAATCTATTCAAGTGACACTTTATTGTGAGAGTTTCACTGAACAGTTTACAAAACGAAAACAGCGTTCCACTCTACAATACCTTCCTCAGACGTGAACATTTAAAAATGATGTATTGGATACACGACACATTTTTATATTCATGTCAAGTGTATAATTACATTAATGAGAGAGAGAGAGAGAAATATGTTTATTCTGAGAAAACAAATTCCTGTTGACAAAGTTTTTGCTCAATGGTAAAAACAATATAAAAGTGATAACTAAAATCTTATCCATATAAAATAGAGTATGTCATTACATTGTAGCAAAACAAATAAGTAACATACAAATTTAAAAATGGTTTCAAAAATATATGTCACATTAGTAAGAGATGCTATAAGTGAATTCTACAATTCGTTAGATGAGTTGTTTGTAAAATTCATCTAGATCCATAATAGGCTTTCATCAATTGGAATATCTCCTTATTTCTTCCTGAAAATAATCAAGGTACTTTCGAAATGTTTTGTACATTTTCATTCCATTGTACATCTATGAATCTTTTACCATTGTTGTTGTGGACAGGGGAAGCCTGATCATGTTAGCTTGATCATGTTAGCTTGATAGTTGGACGTTCATTGCAGTAGTCTTTCGCAGTTTCTCCAAAACTTTTTGACTTTCAAAAAAATGATGTTCTGCTCAGGAAACTTCATTGTTATGGTATTGAGGTGATGAGTCATATTCCGTTTGAGTCTTTAAACAGAAATTATAGACATCAGGCAGATATCAATAGTTAAACATTCAGCATTATCTGAAGTTTCCCACATAACTCGATACTGGACCTCAACCAATTTCTTTACATCAACGATTATTTGCTTATATCAAAGGTGGGTGTAATGAAATATAAAACATATGACTTTCAATTACTCTATGTATATGTTGTATGAATGATGAATGATAATTTCTTTTATGACTGATAGTTTGGATTGTAATGTTGTTTGTTCACTGGTTCATGATATTTTTATTTTTTTTTTCCATTTCAACTGACATCACACACAAAACGTCTTAACTTAGTTTATCGTTTCACTTTCTTTTTGTCACACACAAGCTCTATGAGCTTCAGTAGCTTGTCATGTTATTTCTGCATTTCCTCTTGTTTATATGTATACGTATTCAATTACTATTAAGCTGGAATTACATTAATATATTGTGGTGTGTTGTGATGCTCTCTGACGTGACAGCGAGTGTGCAGACTATTCTGTCGTGTCGGGGCGCGTTCTGACGTTGTTTCGAGCCAATACAGTGGTGGTCTTTGGAGTAAACGCATGCGAGCATCTACAATGCTTTCCTCCGATTCGTATAGTGATATTCAGGAAAACCTTGCGTGCCTGCTAATGTAAAGTTTACTTAAAAAGAAAAGAAAAAAAGAAAATATTAGGTTCATCCAGTAAATGATCTGAGAGGTAGTTGAAGCGAATATCATTTACTAGTGATGAATAAAGATATCATCAATATTTCAGGATGTCAAAAAATCAATTTGAGTAGAGTATGATAGAAAATGATGTTTAAAAAATGCAAACCCGTATTTTCCAACATGTTCAATAAGTTCGTCCGACATCGTGTGCACAAATAAATGCAAACGACTATTAAAAAAACTGCTTCTATAGTATGGAAGAATTTTTCGAGCACTGAATGTTTACAAGTGGTTTGTGTTAGCAAATATTTATGTACAGATATATGTTTATTTTAATATTTACGTTCCTTTTGTGAAGCTATTTGTTGTTGTTATAAGTTAGTAATTGTTATTCCTGACATTGAATTGTTATTCCTGGTCAGTCGGTAGCCAAGCGGTTCGGCGTGAGTGCTTTGTTCACTCACTCGAATTGACTGCCGTGTTGGTCGGTGGTTCAAGCCCTAGTTTGAACGATCGATCTTCACTTGCTACCGTCCAACCCGTGTTAGGAATCACACGTTAAAAGGTAAGACCTCGTTAATCCTTAGCTCGCACAAGTTTCGAAATTCTCTAGATAGTTAACACGTCAGATTAGAAATATACTAGTGTGGAGTGTTCTGACGCGTGAGAAACCCACCATCGTTCTGACGCCGATCGGGAATCGATCGATCGTCGTCACGACAGATCGCGTCCCGACACACTGCACTTTAGTAATATAATTCTAAACATACTAAATGTATGGATACGATATACTTGTGGTGCGTCACGACACACCACGACACAATATAATTCCGGCTTTATTATTATTATTATCTATGAGTAGTAGAATTCAATATTTGAAAGATCACTATTTCATCTTTCAATCGTTTTGTTGATAACATTCTCTTGAATTCAAATCGTGGGGTGAATCTACAATTAGGTAACTACAAATCACCTGTTTCGGGAAAAACTCAAATACATTTTTTTTCTCGATTTTGATAGAAATATGAAGGCATGATTAATAGTCACTTCACTACCATTTCTAAATTTTATTTACTTAGCACTTATTTGATGTTGATTTAGATACATAATGTTCAGATATATTTTTTTTTATAAAAGAATTATGTTTTTGGTTGTTTTGGAAATCAGGCCTGAGTATAAATTGTTCATTTGCAGTCTGTTATTGTATTGACAATAATGCACTGCAAAAATTGTTTCTTTTTACAAAAAAAAATATAGCAAATTTCATAAAAACAAACAAATCAATATGTTGTACAAATAAATATGTGAACTTACCTAGTTATAGAGTGGATTTTTTCTCTGATGATTACTTTATCTATTTTTGAAAATTATAGGTAGCAACTATAAACTGTCTGCCAACGGTTAGCTATATGTAGTATGTTGTGCACCTAACCTAATGGAATTTTCTTTGCATCTCACCTGACATGAGATGATCCCAAACTCATTTAGAGATTTGATAACAAAATTCTTGTACTTTCTTTATTGCAAACAAATTTTTGTCATTGTATGTTTCTTTTCAAATATTGAACAAAAGTAACTTTGTTTTTTTTTGAAAATGAGACAAATTTGAGAAGGAGAACTTGTAATAATTTTTTTTATTCAAGTAACGCTCCAGTGTAATATTATTTCAATCAGTATAAAATTCGTAGTTATCTTTTTTGATAAGCAAAACTATAAAATTTGACAAGTTACTGATAAATGGTACATGAGGATAACTTTTAATTATGTATCTGTATATGTATGTCAGGAAAGGAGCTTTTTGTCTTTCTTCTTCTATCTCTAGGTATACAAAAAAAGTGGGAAACTTCCGGAGGAAAGAAGAAAGCAACTAGAATGTCTGTTGACATGTTGCTATTTTCTTTCAGAGCAATTGAAACATTCAAATAAAAATATGACAACATTTAATATTATAATTTACGGGATAGGACTCTATATAAATCTATTTTATGTATACTTACCTTAATTACTCTAATTTTTATCGAGATATTGTACATTATGTACTTGACTGCTTCTTTATGCAAAACATCAACATTTACCACATCTTGGTCTATAAGAATAACTTTTTGCATAATAAAGCATATTTATTATTATGAATAATGTATTCAAAAAATATACTTCAATGTGAATTCCACTCGAAAGTATATTGAAACATTAAAGTGTGTTTTTTGAATATGTTATAACGAATTTTCATCAAGTATCGGTCAGTTCTATCATATTATTATTAATCAAAGCATTATAGTCTAACTAACAATTGAAGAAAGTGATTCACTCGCATCATCACATTGACAACAGCAAGTTCATCACAGTAATCCCAGTTATATAACACATTAAGAAAGCACAGTGAGCTATTTGCCAGGACATATTTTTAAGTAAGTAATTTGTTCTACACGAGAGCGCATTAGACTTCAGATCATCATGTGATTCCGAATAGATATTGTAGAGGCGTTCAAGCGATTGTTAATAAATCACCATCTTCAATTACTTCTCAGAATATAGTTACCGAACATGATCCTATATTCTTTGGTTTATAGGTTATCAACCTTTTTTTCCAGAATTCTTTTTGAGAAGGTAGCAAAAGATATAATTTTGATTTGTTCACTTATGATACCCATGCTTAAATTTGAATAATCTTTATTGTTCATTTGACATTTTTTTAATGTTTTCAAACAGGTTTATGGTATGTATCTGGAGATATTATTCAAGGAGCAGCTAGATCATGCTTTCAAAATATTCAGGGATAAAGCGCAGGACGACATACAAGTTGACATGCTTTCACGATTACATTTACTCGAACTTATCGAATTACGAGCCAAAGGCTGGAAAGGGACTGATGGGATGAACCTTTATTATAGAAGAAAAATTAATCAATTTGGAAATTCACAGGTATTGCATAAATTCTTGCATTAACAAATGTCCTTAGTATTTAAATTAATGAAAAAATCAACGACCTATGTTTTTTAAAATAAGTACATCTACTATCTGAACATTAAATCATTGCTGAAAGTACATTGGGCAGGCAAAGTAATGTAAGAAAAATTGTATGAAAAAATATATATTATGAAAAATGAGAAATAAAACTTTCTATGTTTTTTACCACTTGTATTTGTAACTAACGTTACTCCAGTTTCGTAAACGAATACAATAAATTTACCTTCACAAGAAAGTAAATTTGTTGTATTATTCAAAATTCTTCACTTTTTGATATTGAAAATAGTCATGTATTTCCGTAATTCAATCTGTTGAAAATAGCTAGTCTATGTTATACTTAATGATAACTTAAAAATGAGTTATGGGGGTATTTTATATTTATGTCTAACTTTTCACATTTTAGTGTTAAAAGATTACATATAATGTTATTTTTAGTATACTTGACGTTTTACGTTATTTATCATGGATAATATATTGGTAGAATGCAAAATAAAGAATTCATATAAATATGATGAACATAACTTGAGCGTGACAATTAACTGTCAGTAATTGATTGAGAACTAACAGTCTCAGACTCATCATTCAAGGACCTGTATGTTTTGTTTTTAGGTAGATATGTCTGAGTCTATATCTAGTTTGAATGAATCTCTTAGCTCAATGGTGATTTCATCGTCTCCACCCCTTTTGGGACCTGGAGAGGTAATCAAGCCGTCTGGCAAATTTGCCAAACCTACCAGGATACCTGGTAAGAAATACTGCAAGGACGAAGTTGTCATCCGAAACGCAGATTCTGGAAAAGGTAAATTTTTCATTGATTAAGCCATGCACTTCTAAGAAGTTCATGAGCACAATTCCATTATTGTTATTTTTGCGTTATAGTTATGGGTATCAAGGGAAGGCGAGTTCATATGATCGAGGAGCTTAGTGAGACGATCATATCCTTTCAGAGAGGTAAAATGATGTGGCGTCCTAACATTTGCTTTTCTAATCAGAATAACTGCGTTTGTGGCACTTCCTCATTTCACAAAGAAATTGCTTTAGTTGTCTGCCGCGTTGAGAACAAACTTTCTTTTCTTTATGAAATCTGCCGGTTCAATTTGTGAGTGTTTGATTCTATACTAACCTTTTTTGTGGAAAATTTTTGCAATATGACATTTAAATTTACTGCAACTCTTATTCGAAAATGTATTCCAAATTTTTTTTTAGTTATTTGAAAATATTGAAATAATGTTGAAATTTCAAAAATGGAGTATCATCCTTCCATTCCAAATGAAATATTGGAGATATATTTATAAATATATAAAATACAGTTTTCAGACAAGTTTTTGATCTCTGTTAGAATATTGGGACATGGGATGCTTATTTCCCACTTGAAGCTTTGTTCACGACGAAGGTTCAATACATGCAGTCGAGCCGCTTTGAAATTGATCCAGTCCCAGGCACTTTGCTGTTTGAGCCGGATCTTTCCTGCACTGATGAAAGGTAATACCTCGAAACCAGTCTGTAGGTGATCTACTGGAATAATTTCAGCATGGTTCTGCTGCTGGAGAAAGGAGAAACATCTACAAGACTAACCTCTGTGAGAAATCTTGCATAATTGTCTATCGGATGTAATTCAATATTCAGCGTGGTATTAATCGGGGAAGTAGTTGTTTTCCAGCAGGCATTTACCAGAACCTAGAGTTTTCCAACAAATTAATTGTTAATTTGGAAGATTCATATATTATTTATGTTTATCGAATAAACAGATGGATGACGGTAGTTTCTAATTCGGATCTTCGACTAAAATGCGTTTTTATGAAAATTTGATATTGATGCCTCTGAGATAATAAATATTCAAATGTTAATTAAGTGAGTTTTAAGCGTATTTCGGTTAAAAAATTATTTCATAACAGTCATTGAAGAATATTTTTGAAATGATAAAGGTATTGAACAAGCACCAAATACAATATTATTATTAAGAAAGGAATACCCAACAAATCTTCCTCAGAAATTAATTTCAGATGAAAATTGGATGAAAAAAACTATCTTTCCTTTGAAGTTATTGATTCACCGAGAAATAATGAATAATGATTCCAAAAAAAAACTCCAAAGGCACAAGCTTTCTGAATAGTGTGAAAGTATAATGACTCATATACTTTACAAACGATGAATCGTTAGGAGAATGTGTGATTTGTTTCAATGTTTGTACTTTTGGCCTACAAATCTTGAGAATCAAATAGTTGCCTGGCAACAACATTTTGAAACAACCTGTATATATTTGGATGCGACTTCTCTAAAAGAAATGTATTTACCAAAAAATGTTGGTGTGATTTCACAGATGAACCTGGCAAAATACAAATCAAACACAAACTAGATGCTACCATGTCTGAAATTAATAGTACTAAACATCGCAGTGCACTCTCTGAAACTTCATCTCAATTCTAATTTTCAGACATTCTGCATTATAATTTTCCTTTGATTGCTATTTATATTCATTGCATATTCTTTACTTCATTTTTCATAATCACTATATCCTCAATATAGAAAGTGGTAAATTTCTGGAAAGGAAGAAAATAATAAAATATACCAAAAATGTGTAGATCGTGTATAAAAATTGCTTTCGGATACTGAAGAAAATTATCTAAAACGACTATTTTCAGATATTTGAACACATAAATCACTTTTCTCATTCGGTTTGTACATCAAACATCGCAATTGAAGCAGATGTACACAACATAATATGTCAAAAAAATTGCTAAAAGTTTTCACAGTGAATTTTTGGATTTGAATAGGAAAAAGTTTCTTTTCTAAAAGGTCAACCACTAAAGAAAGCTAGGCACAGAAATTTTCTTTTTTTCGATTACCCATTAGACTCTTCAGTGTTTTATATTGAGCAGTTACTATTCAGTGTGCCCTTTATTACATTTCAGCGATTCTCTATTGATTTAGCTTTGTTCATTTTTCAGATTGTGTAAGGTTACATACCCAGAAAAAGTAAAAAACTTATATAAGATAATATTGATATGAAATTTCACTTACATGAAAAACTTTCAATCTCCATTCTCATCATATTTTGAAGCATTCCAAAAAGTGCTGGACATTGTATATTTTGTGAAAATTTGTACATGACGAAGCTGTGTGCAAGATGGGTGCCGCGTTTGTTCACACTCGGGCAAAAACAGTATCGTGAAGATGTTTCAATTGAGTGTTTAGCAAAGTTTCATAGCATCAAAGCAGAATTATTGCGTCGTTTCATAACCATGGATGAAATATGGGTCCATCGGAAGTTTTCTACTATCTATATAGTGATGGAGAAGTAAAAACCAAAATATTTTTTTGAATATGCATTGAATGATGAGCAGTTTCATTGGTAGATAATTCTTTGATAAGTTATGAATTTGTTTCATTGTAAATGTTATGTTGTAGTTCCCATTTATTATGTCATGTGTTAGATGATTGCCAAATTCTGAACTGATACAGTTGTGTAATAATTTCAAAAACTATACCTCACGATTTGATCTACACAAACTTTATTTAAAAAATATATCACAACGTGTGATATCACTTGACAAAGTTACTGTGCTAACGAAACATGTTGCGATATATTTTTCAAATAAAGTTTGTGGAGATCAAATCGTAAGGTGTAGTTTTTGAAATTACTATGGATCTTCATCAAGTAACGGGCGAATCAATAAAAAAAAAGTTGTGTATTAGTAATTGAATATGTTTGTTATTTATTAATAACCAGGTAATCTTGACCAATAACGATAATCCAGTGCTCTCCTTGAGATATTTCAACAACAGTTTTGACTGTTTTAGTAAACCCTGGTGCAAAGGAGAGACTCGTCCAAATAACCGGTGCCAACGAGGAGAGCATAAAGTGAGTATAGTCCTTCAAAAATACTAACAACTTAATCAACATTTTCACTTACAGTCATGCCAAGCAGCTCATCGAAGATACCATCCGGAGGAATGCGTCCCCTGTGAGAGACCCTGTGCTATCTTCCAGCGGGGGTCCGTTGACCGGATCCAGTTCTAGCATCAATTCATCCGCGTCTGATGACAGCGCCCTACCGGGCTCCGCTAGGGCTTCACGTGCTTTGATGCACAGTCTGAGCACTAATGATGCCAACATTGGGGAGTACAAGTACACTGTTATAACGAAAGGGTGTACCATCAGGATCACAGGGGATAATCTGGATTTGGTTAGGGTAAGTATGTGTATTCATTCATTTATTTTTTCAACTTTGGAACAAAAAAAGAGGAAACCTCAAATTAGTTTCTGGACTTACTCACGAAAATGTTTTTGGCATAACTTCTGAAGAGCTGCTTGGTATAATAATATTAATACTTTATTGAATCCGTTACAATCAAGAAATGACATGGGATACATTAATAGTTGAAATTACTTAATTGATAAGTTACAAGAGAACACAAAACATAATCACGAGAATTAAAATTGTACCTATACGTATACTGTATGTCCAAAATAAGGAGGTCCAGCATATGAAAATTGGAGACTGATAGATACAAAGTCGTTCAAATTATGAAAAGGTTGCCCATTCCAGAGCTTATTTAGGAAAACTTTTTAAATTTAGAAAATTCTATTAGTTCTGCAGATTTTCGAAAAGAACCGGAATTTGACAATTGCATTGTAATTTTTTTTCTAACATTAATAAAAGAAATGTTAAAAAACCAAAACATTGTCTCATTACCACTTTTCAAGCACTACAAGATGACGGTCACAGATTTTTAGTCTAATATTTCACCTTTTTGGCAACAATTCAACATAATCGGGTTTTTATATACTTTGGCAACATTGGCAATATTTTCTTATTAAAGCAAATATTTATCTCTTAAGGTTGCTGATTTTTCAATGTTGGTCCTATTTGATAAACAAAGAATTATTAAATTTTTGAATCTCTTCTTTCAATATGAAAATGTCATCTTGATTGTCAAGAAAGGGTTCTGAAACCGGCAGCCAATATAATGTCCTTTGTTTGCTTTTCTTTAACGTGAATATAACGATTAATACTACAGAACTATTCAAATTTTGGAACTATGACAATTTGTTTTAGTTGAACGGAAATATCATCATAGAGTTTTTTTGTAAGCAAACAGCAAACAAATTGGGCGTATGGGAACCCGGTATGTAGTTGAGACAGATAAATTGTAAATAACAATGGTCCTAACAAGTTTCCTTGTGGTACATCAAAATTTACTTTTGATGTATCACAAGGAAAGGAATTTTTAATTTTTGTGACTTATTTTCTATCAGTCAAATAATTCTGTAACCACAGTAAAATTGTACCTTTAATTTCATAATAATGTAGATTTTTAACTGAACATCAATTGAAATATACATAAAAATAATGATAATTTATGGGATACAAAAAGATCCGGCAAAATATGTTGGTGTTCTCTTAGCGAACCCTAACTTTCTTATTTGAAGAGATAGACACAAATGATTATTTAGGAGAAGGTTAGGATCTATAAATAAAAATTTCTGAAAAGTTATACCGCCTGTCTGTGTACTTCAAAGCTTCAAATCCACAATCGCTGTTCTATCTTTTTGAAGAAGTGATATATCGATTTGAGATTTGTAAAAATTACGGTCAATTATGTTCCGGAAATTGCTTGAGCATTATCGAAAAATCATTAAGGTTTTTTTCCAGCACTTTTCTGAAAAGTGTTTTCCAAAACATTCCACTTGGAATTTTTTTTTTATTTTTTTATATTTTTTATATTTTATCTCATTAGCAAAATCTTGAGACAATAAAGCATTTTTTGACTGATTGTACATTTATATTTTCAAATTAGAATCAAATATCTATGCTCGGTTATATCCCAATTGCCAATCAGAAGCGACAGCAGCAGAAAAAAATTCCAACCATAGGAATTCCTAATCTGATTTCAGACTAGCAAACTTGTTTTGGACGAATACTTCTCAGGGGAGCCCATACACGATGTCACACAATTCTACAGCTTTGATAGCCTCCCTCAGCCCATTTTATCGGAAGAATTTCCTACCACGCCTCTTTCTCCGCCAGATTCTCTACCATCTCCGGACTTAGTTATGAATGGAGAGACCGAAGAAGCAGGTAAAAAAATACTTTTGGTATGCGGTTTTGCTTAACACAGCCATTCCATAAAGATTTTCCAATGCTCCTAGAAATAGAAGATGGTTGATACGGATTGTTCTGTTGGTGAACATATTGAGATGATGAGTTTTTATTCGTTGGGGGAAGCGAAATGAAAATGGTGAAGATGAGGCTAATGTTAATGGTACATTGTCAAAAAAATTTAAACAATTTTGAACAGAGATCAGATGAGCTTGATTTAAGTGGCAACACATAACTTTAAAACGAATGGTTCAAAATTAGTTGATATAGACTAACAAAAATAAATAAACTTCTGTAAACGCCTTGTTAAAATAGTCTACCAAATTTGGACTCTTTGGGAACTTACTTAAAACAAAAAAAAATAGGAAACAAATCAGGAAGATAATTGAAATAATGAAAGTTCATTTCTAAAAAACAACGATTGTAGGAATTTTGTTCAATTTCTAAAAATTGGTGGTCTAATGAATTTACATGTTCTGATAATGCACATGATAAAACATTTCTTCTGCAGTTACTTTTATGAGAGGTAATTCGACCTTTTAGAAGTCTTGAGGTCTTCCAATATACACTTTATCACAATCTTTGCAAGGTATTTTATAAACGATAAGGTTGATTGGTCAAACCACCAACACTGACATAAAAACTTGGTAAGTTGACTTGGGTGTCACACCAATAGGTGGTTCCACTTATGTTTCACTTGCGTTTACACAGCTATTTTTATCAAGTACTTTTCTGGTTTTTCACATTTTGTCTTCAATCGAGGACCGCCTGCCCGGTACTGACGATGCTCAATAGGCTGAAACAGCTGTCTACCGGTGGCTCTTAAATTGAAATAAATATGGGAATGATCAGAAAGTACTTATCTATTTATCTTTATATATATATTTTTAAGAGGCAACTTCCTAAGGTATGATGTATTAATACATAAACTTGCCAAAAGCGTATAGTAAATACTTGAGCACAATGATCTAGAGAGAGAAAAAATAAAGGATTATTCTGAAGAAATTCAAATATTTTTCAAATTCCTTTTTGTTCATCTTAACTTATTTTTCTCTGGTTCAGTTACAGGAAGAAATATTAGGTTGGGAAGGTGTGAGTAGAACCTACTTGACATTGAAGTTATTCAAAAATATTTTCAGAAGATAAATTTCAATAAAAAATATGTCGATCAACTTCTATTCAAAGTTTGTTGAAAATTGTGTATATATATATCACATGAATTTCAAAGTGTACCCAATCAAGAACTAACAATACCTTGATTCTTAACTGCAAATTAATAACTCTTTTCATGGACAGATAAGGTGAAATTGCGAAAACCCCGACTATCGATAGAAGAAATCATGCGAGGTAATTCATCTTATGAGGAAAAATTGAAATCTCCGCCTCCAGCGCAACCTAAACCTTTGAAATATTCCATCGAGTATTTGGCACACTTGGCCATGTCTCCGTTGTGTCTGGCAAAGCCAAATGATTGGGACAGGATCTCGGAAGAGTATCCGCAACTAAAGAAAAATGTAAGTAGGAGAGTCTTGTTGATGTTGTGGTGCGGTTTTCGTGTAATGGACCTTTTGCTCAGGCACAGCAAAGGAAAACCCATATTTAGGTACACTTTCAAGTTCATTATTCGATGGTGAACTATTTTTTTGCAGTGCTAGGATGAAAGTCCGTTATATTGAGAATAATTTCTTTTGCATGATGTTGTTGAGGTCCATTTGGTATTACGAGCATTTCTAGGAGTTTTATTTGTTTCACGAGTCAGGTAGATGAAAAATTCTATGGAATGGTAAATTGCTTGGTTTTGGTTGCTTATTGCCTTTTGCTAACTCTGGATTTCAAAAGATATGAATTTAGAAATCATTGCTAACCATCTATTACACAGGGTGGCCCGATATTTTATATGTATACATTGAACAATATATATCTTCAGTGTTGATGTTTGACAGAATCTTAAAAAAATGTAGAGCGGTTCAATGTAACTTGAACTATTCCTTTATTTATCCCAAAAACAAATATGTTTTAACTAACCCTGTATAAATTGGGTTTCAAAACAGTTCATATTTGCTACAACAGCATGAATTTCAAAAACATTATTGATCCAATTCAACTAATAGAGAACTCGTTAATGGTATGTAATAAGGAATTGGTTAAATTGTTTTGTACCATTAAATGATACTAAAAATAAACTGTAACTCATTTGAAATTCTATTTTTAGGTGTATCTTCTTTATTCCCAGTGTATTAAAAATTGTTTTTACATTGCTATGAAAACTTTCAATGGTCACCAGAATATAATAATAGAATTTTCATTTAGGGTCCCCATCAACTTTCAAATTTTAAATACACACGTGGTATTTTCAGACCCTTGAATAATATCAACGAATAGATTGATATGTTTAAAAATTTTTTTTTGAATGTTGAGATATAACACGGTTATATATGAAGGTATAGGAAATGTCAATGTCACATATTGAAAAGTGTTTCGTTTTTGGCTATTAAATCAATATTATTACGTTACGAACATTTACTTGACAAAAAGATAATAAATAGGATTGGTTAGATTATCTTCTGAAATATTTACGGTACATCAAGTGATATGAGTTTTGTTCCCTTGATTTTCATGTCAGAAATAAGATACAATAATTTATTTGATAATACCAAATAATCGAAACTTCCAAGATAATTAAAAAAAACACTTGTCGATATGAAATGAACATTGCAGATTAAAAAATTGCTACAAAAATACAAATCCGTATGTCAACTTTCTGAGTTGAAGATTGCTTATGTAATATGGTAGGTAGGTAGGAAGGTAAGTCTGTGAGTGAGTGAGTCTATTCGACCCTCCACCGCAACCCATAAGGGTTTATTGTGGCTCACACCTATTCACACTCGGCCAAATAAACCCAGCTTCTTAACGAAACCGATTAGTTTGTATGGTGAGTGGTCTTTCAGGTCAGATGGTGACAGTACGGATCTGCCGAAGTCAAAGAACCTGATTCTGTCTCCAGCGGGGCAGGCACAAAGTATATGCTCTGCAGTTTCATCATTTTCCAGGCAGAGGCGACACACACTGTCTTCCGACAGTCCAAGTCTCTGCATGTGATGATTCAAATGATAGTAACCTGTGTAAGAAGGCCTGTTAGACATCGTAGTTCATCCCTACTGTAGTCCAACAACTGTTTGGAATCAAGCTTCGAAGGGTGAATAAACGTCTTGGAGTGAGCCAATCCTGGAAGATTCTGCCAGAAGTCCATAACTCTTCTTGCCATCCAGGTGTTCATTGTTTGTTTGGCAAAGCCCAAAGCGATGCCAATGACAGGTTCTGGTCCAATGAAGCCGCTTGCAGCACCCTCCTTTGCAAGAGAGTTAGCAGCTTCATTGCCTTCTAGGCCAGTATGGTCAGGAATCCAGACCAGAGACAATCTGTTTAGTCTTCCTATCGAGGAGAGTCTTTTTTGGAAGTTTGCTACCAATTTAGACGTTGCTCGGTGGGAGTCAAGAGCTTCCGACGCTGCTTGACTGCCCGAGAATATTTTTATTGACTTGTGAGTGAGGTTGGATTTACCCCATCTCTCCGCACACAATTCAATAGCGTAAATTTCCGCTTGAAATACAGTCGCATAAGTTCCTAGGCAGGTAGATAACTCTGTCCTGGGTCTGCGACTGAAAACACCTGCACCAGAACCGGAAGGTGTTTTTGATCCATCTGTGAACCAACAACTATCTGCTCTTAATATTTCCTTCTCCCGCAGGATCCAGTCCTCTCTACTCGGGAATAGTACTTTATAAGGCAGTTCGTAGTTGACAGTTGGAGGCATAAAGTCAGAGGAGATTTCCAGAATGCTGTGACTTCCAATGTCAACCAACAGTCTGTTGCACTCTGCATTGAATTGATTTGTGCAATTGGCAATGTGCACAAGTCTGTATGCAGTCCATCTAGCCTCTCTTGCCAAAAAAAGTGGAGAGGAGGTAGATCTACAAGGATCTCCATCACTGCTGACGGTGTGGTACTGATGGCACCACTGATAGCCAGACAAGCCTGTCTCTGTAAGCCATAGAGCTTCGCTTGGGCCGTTTTCTGTAAAGCCTTCGGCCACCAAGCAATTGCACCATACGTGATCATAGGTCTGACAATCATCACATAAATCCAATGGATTTGTTTCGGACCTAAACCCCAACCCCAAGTTTTACCACAAATATTTCGACATGTCCATAGAGACAGTCTGGCTTTGTGTAAAAGTTTTTCCAAGTGAGCGTTCCAGGTGAGTCTTTTATCAAGGACAATACTAAGATATTTCACCTCCGTTCCAAATGGAATGACCACACCATTGAGGGAAAGTGACGTTAGATCGTCCAATTTCCTTCTCTTGGTGAAAGGGATTAACATAGTTTTGCTGGGGTTGACAGAAATCTGCTCCCTCAGGCACCAACTGTGAACAACGTCCAACGTGTTTTGGAGGATATTTCAAGCTACTTTTGCTGACGTGGACCTTGCCAGGATGACAAGGTCATCTGCATAAGCTTGCAGAACAACTTTTCTTCTGTTGAGGGCATCAAGCAGACTATTCACCAGGAGCGACCATAGAAGGGGAGATAATACCCCACCTTGAGTGCAGCCTCTGGTGACCCTGAACCTGATAGTCTCGCCTTGAAGAGTCGTAGTTGCAGTTCTGTTTACTAGCATGGCATAGATCCAGCCAGTTATGGTCGATTCTATACCCTTTCTAGCCAGAGACAATCCTATAGATTTAGGTAGTGCATTGTCAAATGCTCCTTCAATATCAAGAAATACAGCAACCGCAATCTCCTTGTTGTCAAGGGATTGGGAGATTTTTTCAACGAGGTTGTTTAATATGTAAAATGTTCCATGAGGATATTCTGATAATTCACTATACAGTCAAAAATAAAAATTTTAATTTTTGTTTTCTTTCAGTATCTCGGAAATCAAAAGAGCTACAGTAGATTTTTTGGTGTCATTCTATAGTACCCTAAAGTCGACAACCACAATTAAACCAACTCTCTATCTCTTATCATTTACGAGATCATCAAATTACCGTGTGTTAGCCAACACACATATTGATTGTTTTATTTATTCAATAGAAAATAAATTGAAAATTTTCAAATGAAAATTGTGTAGAAATTCAGTATATATTTATTAATCATGATATCAGCCAAAACAAATCTTCAATAGATAGTAATATTAAATCTAATATTGGTCAGAAATGGCTTTATCATGACGGTTCTATGGAATTTGAAAATCTACAACTTCATTAAAATTCAGTCAATTCAAAAATAGTTTTTCGGGGAATTGACTCGTCTCAAAGTATTGAATGATTCTTTGATTCGACTTATCTTTGTTATTTTCATGTTTTTTAATAATAATAATTGTGTGTAATACAAAATTACACAGAAAAGGGCCAAGTACATTTAAAATGATATCAACCAAGCCCAAAAACAAACTTGACAGAATTAAAATTCGCTAAAATTTATTGAATTCAGTTACCCTTTCACGTTAGCCTTTTCGAGATTTTTCTTCAGAATAGTTTCAGATAATTATGATACTCTGAGGGTAAATTATTTTACGGGTAAGGTAATAAGTACATGGTACAAGTATCATGAATTCTTTGCATTTGTATTTTTGGTTTATATGATGGAATTGGTAGATACTTGATGAAAATCCATAGCTGACGTATTTAAAAACACTTTATTGTGAAATTTTCACTAAACAATTTTACAAAAACCCAACACGTGTTTCGCCATACAATGGCTTCTTCGGGAGTGTCTTACAAACACGGTTTGTTAGTTATGAATAATACCTTTTTCAATTTTCCTTATAAAGGTATAAAAATGAAATGAAAAGAAAGTGAAATATGTGTGATTGAGTACAAAAATTACAATTCCTCAAAAAGTGTTGATATATTTTTCATAAATCCATATCATGAGGCCAGATAGACATTTCGAGGCTCTAGATTTGGTTATGTTTGAAATTAATTGCTTTCTAATGTGAATTGATTTTTTATTGTTTCTCTTTTAGGTCGTTGAATATTTCGACGCCAAGCACTACCTTTCGGCTCGTACAACAGAGCCATCTGGAGTGTTGAGTGCCGATGTACTCGACCCTAGTGAAGTTTGACACAAGAATAACCAGGCTTTGACACAATGTTCTTTAAATGATTGCAACTAAGCTCAATAAGATATGGAACCTTGAAAGTGACTCACTTCATAATACACATCATAGGTGAGTTACCTTCGAGCGGGTTGTATTTACATAGGGTGACGCAAATCTTCTGTGCGTAACTTTCAATTATTTTTGTGAGGTTATGTATTTGCGAAGGTTCTCGTTTTTCCCTAAATAGTTATATTTATATTATATAAAAATATTCAGTTTGTACTCAAACACTTAGTGTTAACTATTAAGCTTTTTGAGTTTCAGAAATATACGCTTGCTTGTTTTCTGTTGAGAAAAAATAACAAAAAAAATTGACTGACTTACTCGAACATATATCTATCTTTTATTTATTTCTAATATCAAGACTAAGATTGTTTGTTCTTTGTGATAATTTTCTTGCGAATGTTGTCTTATTTTCATACTCAAGAAAATGGTGAAACAATTACCAAAGCATAACGCACTAGAAACATATACTCTGTCTATGTCTATTTTGTTAACATTTAACAGTATGAATAACAGGGTGAGATACGCCGAGATACATTATTTGTTTTGGTGTATATGAAATAATGGTAGCTTTACAAGGGCGTTTATTACTGTTATCATTATTATTTATCTTTGTGATCTGAATCTGGATGACTAAATAGTTCAAATGGTTTTGTATCATGATATTTTTCAGTGCGGTGTAATCCTATCCACATGCTGTTCCAGAAGTTCGGTAAACTGCGATATCTCTGCCATTCCGTAAACAAAATATAGAACAAAAATATTTCAAATGTGTTGTTATGTTATATCCAAAAAGGCCTTGTGAAGAATTCAAGCTGCGAAACTGAAAAACCATTCTAACCTACTTAGGATACATACTGAAGGTAAATAATGAATATTAAAAAAATCCCCCAAGACCTCACGTAACTGATATGTACACACTTTGAAGTACCCCAAGGATCCTTTACTGAAATTTTTGTATTTTTTTTTATAAATGAAAATAGTACTTTGGGTCCATCAATATCACGGCATCGTTGCTTTGTTTGATAATCATTTTATTATAATTATCATATCAATTCAAAAAATTAATGGCAATACAATCAAGGAAATACAACAAAGGTTACATCTCAAAACATGTCCATCGGAATAATAGGCTGGCATAATGATTATGTCAGTTACTTGTCATTAATGTTAACAAAAGAAATGTATGATCATGTTTGTGCAACCTGAAAAATTGTAAACAAATGCCCTCAATTCATAAATAACTGATGACATATTTTTTGAGTTTTTCAGTCTTCTTTAAAATTGGCCTCTTGCTGTAAGGAAGTTAGCCAATTCATGGTCTTGAGAGCAAAAAAGGTGTTACTTTTTCATTTGTTCAACAATTCAATTTTTCATGGAGATATCGCTTGTTTACGAATTTCTCACAAAATACCCCACATTGAAATGATGTACTCGTAGCTTATACTCAGTTTATGAATTTTCATTTCAAAATGAAACCTTTTTGTATAATATACAAGTGATAGGCTGCCTCCTCAGTTTTTCAACCTTGTGCAATGGCTTCGAATACTTAGATCTGGACAGTATTGATGCTTGACCTCCAGTTTGGAACGTTGTTAGGATTTGTTTCAAAGTATCTGGAAAGGATGGCCAGTATTATCATTGTTGATAATGAAATGACTACTTTTTTATTAGCAAATGTAAATATTTTATATTGATGTTATCAGTCATTGGAAATGAAGTGGTTAAATTCTATTGTCATTCTCGATAAAATCAAGTTGATATTTTTTACTTTTTAGATTATTTAGATTCAGATAAGAGATATTTATAAATGCATATTTTTAAAATATATTGACATTGATCAAACCTCAATTTACAAAGATCTAGTAAAAGATAATAAATAGAAATCTATAAATAAGGAATAATGAATGGTAGAATCCAAAACAAGAACTTCCCAAACACCAGAACTGCAACTCTCTGTTCGACGCGCGTTTCACCAACCCAGTTGCCCTTTTCAGGAGATGAAATAGTCTACTACATTTCTTTTGGAAATTAGAAGGAATTGAATGAGAAAAAAGTCTACTGCTACTTATCTAAAAGTACTTCTAAGCAATTGAGATTGAAACTGGAAAATTCACCTTTTCAGTTTCTGAAAGTTAAAATTAAACATTCAATGTTCAACAATCAGCTAAATAAAACATTGAATGGAGTTGGAGGAGTTTCAATAGATTATCAGAGTAGATAGAAAGGTTTAGACTTTATTAATTAAAAGTCTAGAAACCTGAACATTTCAAAAATATGTCTATTATGAACAAATTGAATACAAGCCTTAGAAAAAGTAGAGAAGAATAAATAACTATTGTAAATTATGAAAGAGTTCCAACCTAGTTTCCCCCCTCATGCTTCACATCAAGAAATTAGTATTCACTTTTTTCTTTTTTTACCTTCTTTTGATTGTTTTGTCTCTGAAGGAGTACTTTCAAAATACTCAAATTAGGCCCTACAAATTTTCTTGTTTTAAAAAATAAAATTCAAAAGAGTATGTAGATTAACGTACTATTTTGAAACTGATGTGTATAGTTTTCAGAAAGCTTTAAAAACAGTTTCATCTTCAAGAAACATTTTTTATTCACTCAAAATTATGAAATAAAGTTCAGACATTTAGGGTAATCTCAATTCACCTAAAGAGAAATTTCATTTGTAAGATACTCTGTTTTAAATTTAAAAGTTTATTCTTGCTGCTAGTGAAAACCATTCGGTGTACTTGCCATCCTTTTCATACTTTGGAAACGATTCAAAGTAGAAATTGTTTTGTGTTTAGATGTTAGGTTTTGTTGTTTTTTTATTTTGCATTCTATTTATCAAAAGCTGAACTGCTCTTGTTTGTTTGTACCAAGTAGAATTTTTTTTTGTTCATTTACCCTTATTTTATTTGGAAATTTTAACTGACATGATTAAAATTTTTCTTTTAATGTTTTTTTTTCTACTATCCCATCACTTTTCCAGTATTGCTTGTTCAGTGGTATGAACTAGCTGACGTGCTGGGAATCGCACGTTAAAGGGGAAGACCTCGTTGTTCCTTAGCTCGCATAACTTTCCACTTCTCAGACTTGTCCGTAAGGGGACGATAGCTGATTTCAAAATTATTGAATAACCCAGCAATATTAATTTTTTTTTACAGAGTCAATTCAATTGTCAAGAATTACAAACTCCAAAACATTGAGAATAACGGGTTTTCTGAAACCATAATTATAAAGATATAGTTTTTATTCAGATTTTAATATTTTTTCAATTTATTCAAATCATTCAGGTGGAGATGGGCTTTAAAGAAAGATCTACTTATCAGGATAGTAGAAATGCTAGGAGGCATGTTTTCATTGACCTTTTTTCTTGTATGTCTCCAAACTGAAATAATTTGGAGTTGCACCCTGATGATCTTTATTCTAAATGATAATTAACATCCTGTTGATGAGAATAGGTTAAAAAAATTTACAATCTACCTCAGGGTTCTTATAAATAACCATAGAAACCCTGACACTGCCCTCCCTATGCATGAAAATTAGTGAAGGCCTAATTCAAACACATCTTTATTCTATGATTCGATTTGAAAATAATCGATATATCGAATCGATTATCAAGATAATTCGAAATATTCTTCTTCTTATATTTATATGGTCGTTGTCTCATTCTTTAGGCGCATTTGACCATAATTTGGCATTTTTCCCATCGCAGAACTTAAACATGTAGCTGTTCACGATTGCTTTCACCAGAATTACGAATGTTGTTCATATTTTCATTTTCAAGTCAACCGCTGAGAGTATGTGCTCTTGTTGTTACTAATCTTATTCCTGATTGGGCTATTTCCGACAAAAATTATTCTCTGCTCGATGTAATTTGTTTGGACAGAACAGCGAATAAACTTTTGGCGGGAATGACCTAATCTGGAATAAAATTAATGTCAACAAAATACACCTAGTAGGTAGGTAACAAAGCCAATTGAGGACAGTCGGCACTGATTTATCTGAAGAATGAATGGAATGAAACGTTATTCCAAAACAGAACTTGAAGAACAATAAACTCACAAACTCAAAATAAATCCTCAATATATTGAAATGAAAAAAAAACATGGTTCTTGGTTTACAAAAATCACATTTTAATCTAATAAGATAAATCCACGCACTATATACCTACTACTGTATTATCGATGTCAACTGAGTGATTCTACTGCGCATTGTGAGTGATTTATAATTCCTATAATAAATAATTCGATTATTCAAACAATTCGATTATTATGCCTATCACTAATGAAAAAGAATTGCAAAGGAATTTGAACCAACTCGATAAACATCGGAAGAGGTGAATAATCCAGTCAACGAACAAATCACTACTAAATCATTTCTGGATATTTAATCTGGGTATAAGTAATCTGTAGATGGCGTCTTTGTAAGGGTAGATGTCTGTCATCCACTTTATTAAATTATCAAATTAACTTTTCAATCGTTATGTATGTGTATGCATAACAAAGATAGTTTGAATAGGGAAACTCAGACACCTAACTGCAAAGATCTATAGAATTGTATTTCATTTATTAGGCTAGCAGAAGTACAAATTGAAGTAAACGTGCGGAAGCCTGTAGTACGTCTCGGGAGACAACTTGAACATATAGCGATTTCTGCTCTCCTCATACTAAATCCTTATTTTCACTTTCAGTTTCAAAATCGAATTCTTCTCATAAATAAAACAAACCTCACCTCAGGTCCGCAATCTCGTCTTCTTAGCAAATTTTCGCTCAAACTCACAGAAAATCATCCCAACATTCAAAACAAAATATTTTTGTGTAATCTACCATTTCACCTTTCTGATATCCTGATATGAAATTCTCAACCGAGTTCATAACAATTTTTAAGTCAAAATGCTATCCGCCTAAATACCTCCTCATGTTCCTGTTATCCTAATAGTAAATCTTCATTCGAAATTTATTTTCTGTGTCGGTTTGCACAAAATTTTGCGGAATTTCCGTACTACCAACCAGGATAGCAGAAGTGCGAAAAGTCATTTGATATTTGTGCTCTTAATAGATTCATTTAACTTACAAACTTGGGAAAGTCAGTGATAAGAATTTTCATTTATTTAGTTTCTACTTTTACTCTGCTTAGGAATTGCTTCTCATAATTATCATAAGTAATTAATATTTATTTTAAATTAACCCCTATGATTGGTGGCGCCATCCATCTACCAGACAGTAAACAAATCTTATTCAGGTATATACTATTGAAAGGATTGCTTAATTAGCTCATGACGAGAAAATTAACCGAACAATAGTGAAATTTGTATTGTACGAATGAATTTGTAATTTATAGAAACCCAGCTTTTTCCAGATATTTTCTTTTGGAGTTGTTGCTATTTTTAAATACTGCTACACTAGAGCACCTTTGATTACTCTTTGTCAGATACACCAACGTTTCTTATGTTCAATACATTGGTCTGCCCTTTTGCCGCCAGAACTTTAGAATAAAACTACAACGCCACCATTTATATTTTTTATTGTAATTTTAAATGCATCTCACATGTTACAACCTAGATGAACGCTAGGTACGGTAATAAAACAATAAAAATTTATCAGTTTGATTGATGAACTACGTTTTTTGAAAAAGGGATTCTATCACTCACAACAACATTATACATACCACCTGCCAGAAAAAAATAATTTCCTGTTATCCTAAAAAATATGTTTCATTTTGTTTTTGGTCTTTCACAATTCCTAATATATCCTAAGCTAGAAGTAGATTTAATCAACGAGTGGTATGGAAAATTCAACAACTTGTATATACAGAGTCCTTGCGAAACATGATACCATCATCTTTAAAAGTGTTTGGTGGTTGGAAAATGATTTGGGAAGGAAATGGGTAAGGAATCCGAAGTAGTACAAAAGACAATGGTACAACTACTGGTGGGGTTAATACAAAAACCCTTCAAGGAAATACTGATTTGATTATTATTCGAATAAATTGAGCATAAAATGGTTCCTGTTGGGTATTCAATAACGCCCACCATTTCACAACGACCCGAATTTTGGCAAAACATTCATTTCCTTTATGAAAACAAAATCGAGAAACGGAACAAACATTGTTCAAAAAACAGGTGATAGGATTCAATAAACTCTCAAATACAAATTACAACAATTTTTGTACAGCAAGTTTAAAAATAGAGCTACTTTATGAAGAAGTCTAATTTACGTCTTTTCTTCTCGAATATGTACAGGGTGTATAGAGGAGACAAATAGAATATGTTCTAAAACTAAATTTTGCAAGTATGGCAGATTTCACTAAGGGTTTGATTGACCCAACAGTTTTAAAGACCTCAATTTAAAAATGTATAAAGATTATCTGTAATAGTAATGGCTGGTTCATACACCTAACTTTTACTTTATCTTCATATACCACATTTTTACTTTAAATAAGGGTGTGGTGTATGAATGCTTCAATTGTTTACATTGTGATAACTTACTTGAATCAAAGATAAAGGAAAAGTGAAAGTTTGGTGCAAGGCCCAATCATCAAATGTTTGAATTTTACTGTTGAAAAACCCAAAGTGAGAAATATTAGAAATATGCAAATTTTGTGGGAGAAAAATATTGAAACAAAATAAAACCCAATTACCGACCATTTTTAACTTTCAAATTATCACCCTAACCGATCAATATATTTGAATATTTCAAACATTCCTGATATTTAGTATGTCCGAGTGGATGATCAAAAAATCTGTAATGGTAAAAATATGTATTCACCAACAACTAACAAAATCGAGATGTACTAACTTAAAATGGGGAAATTATTGTGAAGCCAACCCCACAAAACTATTGTTTACTTACCTCGCCCCTGAAGAGGCATAAGCCGATAAGAGGGGCCTCACAAACAAAACAACCCAAAATCCAAACTGTGTTACAAAATTAACCAATAAACGTTTTTTATTCATTCATATCAAGTTACATAATAAGAGGGAATCAACGTTGATGAAATCGGGCTAACTGCACTTAATTAATCTGTGGCCTCACCACCTTTGATGATGTCTACCACAGCAGCAGTTGAAACGTCAAGCATAAAAACCTGCATACCACAGCCTATAAACCCGGGAACTAGCTTCAAAACAGTTATCTCCGGCCGTGAATGTTCACACTCTTTGACTATGAACTGAAATACATGCTAGATTGAAAAAGGCTGATATTGGAAACATTTCTAAAAATGAGTGCTTATAAAACACAAAAAATATGAAATATGAAAGTAATAGATAACAAAATTGAAATTATCTAGTGGAATAGAATCATTGGAAAAATGGAAAAGATTTAAAAATATTTGACAATAGAATACGAGACCTTCAATTTTATTCGAATGAACGCACAGGCAGGAGTTAGGGGAATTTGTTGAAATGCAAATCAAACAATCAGCTTCTACCATGACTTTTAATTTTTTCCTGAGATTTCCGATTTCTCAAACCTATTTCCCGATTTATTGGTGTAATTTCCATAACTATGTTAACCTTTTAAAACCATCTGTAATGAATATTTCAGTTGAACTTCGAGTTGTTAATATCGTGGAAAGCAGCTAGCTTTTCCAAAGAAACGTTCAAGATTGCAAATAACTTTTACCTTTTTATTCTGATTATCCACTTTGTGCTTTCTCCTTTTGAGCAGTATCCTGCAAACCAAGTTTACAACATGTTCCAGAACACCCTGTATTACAAAAGTTTATAGTCTATAGTACAAGACTGTTAGTGCTAGTCAGATCCTTACCTTAAACTTTTTCAAAACGAAAACAAACCGGTAAGAATAAAATTCGAAAAAATCACATAAATATATGCAAACATTTTCATCATAATACTGATAGTAGTGACATCAATAATTTTCTGCCGAAATTCACAAGCTAAACAATCCACAGAAGCCAGTCCACATTTCAGGTCATAAAGCTAATCTATACTTTCTGTATGTCCATGAGTTTCTTTTTCCCTTAGTATGACATCTCCAAAAAAGCCATCATGTATGTTTCTTATTGAAAATTTGAAATTTTTTATTATTTCTACAAAACGAATATCTGTCTAAAGAAAGTTATATGTTTTTCAAAGTATATCTACATTCTTGGGCAACATCACATACTGTTACGAAAGGAATACCAGTTAGAATACAATTTGACTTGAATAAAGTACTAATGAGATCAAACCACCAAATATAACATTTCAAGATTCAGTTTGGTCTTAATGATCTTGAAAAGGTATTTAATAAAGGCAATACTGATTCAGTTGAAATAAAATTAATACTAATAATATTAAGTTCATACATTTTTCTGGCAGCAACAAGTACAGTAACAACACAAACTCAATAAGATTCAAGCAAATGTAGTTCCTTATAATACTAAATTTAATGGTTTCTTTGTATTTAATAAATGTTTGCGTTATAATTGTCAATTGCATTTTTGATATATTCACTTGTTTGGTAGGTTAATATGGTATTATTTCGTCCGAGTCTAATCTATTTTTTTCATTTGATTGCAGTAATATGTGACAAATATTCAATTCTTCAGTATTTCTATAACTGGATGGAAACGGTGACAAGATTACTTTCCCCAACGTGTGCACTGTTGATACTTTTTTTCAATTCCAATGTGTGGTGAAATGATTATGTCACACTCTGGTTTTGTTACAGTTCCTATTACTACAGTTAATGGCTTATCTTCTCAGAGACTTTCTCAATGTATTAATTTTTTAGATTGTATTTTAATTGTACTCTGAATTCACTTACAGACGTTTCTCAGGCAATGTCCAAACTCTTTGTGCAATTTGAATTCAATATTGTTTTTGATCTTACCTATCAATTGTATTTTGAGTGTAGTATATCTTTATTTTCTGTTGAAAATAGATTTTTCAGTTAAGCAGCTGTCGCAGCTCCTACAATCATTAATGAAAAGAAAGTTTTGGCTTTCTACTTCTTCATCATCACTCTAATGACAATCAACCTGAACACGGACTGGCCCTTCACAGACAACAGAAAAACATTGATAAGGTCCTCAGGTTTCAACAAATTTTCTGCCGCTTGGTTATTATAACCTACAATTTTCAACAAACAATGCTTTCATCTAAAGCAACATCATTTATATATGTACACGCGACATTTCGTGCGCCCCTCTTCGGTCTTCAAGCGATCTCCCATCACACGTTCATAGCGTAAAACAGAGGTTTGGCGTTTGCGTGGGCTAAGGTTGGAGACGTATTCGTACTGGAATTGTTCTGGAGGTTGATGGAGTCTTGAGGGGATACACTGGCTGCCCCCTCTGGTACGCCACGTTCTATAGAGAAGAAACAATTAATAATACTACTTAATATTCTTCAACAAATTCTGTTCAGCAAGCTCATTAATTCTTCACAAATATTGTTTAGGGGATAATTTTGAGTATCATAGGAATATAGATAAGTAGTGTTTGAGTCAAAAAAGCTAATCTACACGTATATTTACCAATGAATCTAGCCTTGGTGGGACTATTTCCAGGAGAGTCCTTAGGAGGAAGGTAGTTGTAGTAACCGTTCATGATTGGTCCATTATGTTGAATATCGGGATCTTCCATGTAGATATGGTCGGAATTTTCTGGAGGGTTGTACCTGGGCCTCACCGAAGGAAAACTGTGCCGATTTACCTTATTCACATATTCCGGTTTGTATGGTGGGTGTATGCTCTCTCTGTATCTCAGTATCGTACTGGGGGCTGTAAATATTTCATATTTATTGAAATAAGTAAAACATTTCCGAGTGAAAAATCATTGCTGAGATATTTCACAAACAAAATAACAAATGCATCACTGCTAGAAGACGATAATGACTGCTAATGACGATACAAAATTATATATAGTTGAATACGTAATCAAATGAAATTTAAATATACCTTTTTAGTTCTGTATTTGACCTATGTACTTGAAACCGGAGATAAGACATTTCTCACTATTATGTTCGCTCATTTACTCTGGGTTCTTCAAATTTAAATACAGAAGCTGTGAAGTTTTCTGCTTCTTCATCAATCTTGTGAAATATCACCCCATATTTCAGGACATTAGGTGAATGGAAATCACGGTTATTCGAAAGGAACAAAGGAGATGTTAAATGAATTCGATCCCAGTTTTTTCCATAGTAGGTACGCCTGTTTCAAAACTTTTTGCAACTGCCAGAGATTGGTGAATGATGTAGCAAAAACAAGTTGTTGAAAAGCAGTAGATGTAGAATTATGCATTTTTGTAATTGTCAAATGAAACCTTGTTGGAAACGAATTCTATATTTCTGGGTAAAATTCACAGGGCTCATCAATTAGTTTAACAGTGATTAAGTACACTTTGATTGTCTACAGAATTAGGTAACGTCCAAATTTACACGATACACAATGATGATGCCATCAAAACTGAATATATTGCGAAAGTGAGAGTTGACCAGACAGGAATAGATAAAATGGATTTTTTGCCTGTAGAAAAACGTATCATGATGAAAATCCTCGACCAATATAATAATAATAAAGTATACGATTTATACAGTAGAAGCGTAGCAGCGTAACAACTCTATTGGCTGGATTGATCACCGAAAAGCATTTGAAACATCGCATAAGCTTATCTTGCATCTGCTCAGATGCTTTGCAATACCCAACTGATACTCCTCTGGATGCAGTATGTACTCATAAAATGTAGGTACTCTATCAACAACTTTGTAGTTGTTCCGCCTAAATAAGACCGTTCCAATATAATGTGTGGGAGTTGTACAGAAATGAAAATTATTATTTTATATATCGACTGTCACAATCTTCATGAAGATGTTCAAAAAGGAATAAACTGATATCTTTTTTTAACACCTGGGTATTATACAAGAATGAAAAGAATAAAATACTACACTCACTCTGGTAGTAGTTACAGCTGGACAAACATGCCATAGACGTCTGCGTGGACCTCGCCATGGCATAGTTTCCCATCAGGGGACTCTCACTCCTGCTAGAGGTCACCAGCAGCGGCTGGTAGTTGTTCGCGTAGACGTTCTTCGCCTGCACTCTAGCCTGGTGGACGTTGGAATTGCAGTATGGATCGTCGACGTGGGCCATCTTCTGTTGGTAGATTGGCTCGACATACTTCTTGTTCATCTGGTTCTGGTTGTAACGATAGTAGTCGTTAGTTTGGTAAACGTTTGCTGGTTCGTAACTCTCGATGTGGTTGTACGGTATGTAGACCATGGTCTGGTGGAAGTTCCTCGACAGGTCTTGAGGAGGCGGTGACATTGGCCTGCCATTCCTGTTGATATATGGTTCATGGTACAAAGATTCGATAAATTATATATTTTTTAAGAAAGTCTAGTTTCTACAGAAATCTTTTCATCCATCATATCTTGATCCAATTTAATTTTCCTATTATATGCACAATATTTTCTTGCAATTTTTATGCCGATAATATATATTTTATTGCTTTTAATGAGCTTCTGAACTGGTCTAAATTGAGAAGAAAAATAATACTAATTACATTCGAAGGATGATAGTGGAGTGTCCAATTTTTTACCCCTAGCCATGAGGTCATTAAACACATTATAAGTTTCATTAAATTCAATATTCACTTTATTTATTCTTTTCGTGTAGTAGATAGTTTGTGATAAAGTGGTGTTTTGTAGATTCTGTGGCAGTGGGTGAAATATTGTGAGAAAAATACTGATCCGAATTTTTAAATGTACTACAGGCAATGCAGCAGACCAATATTTCTGTCCTAGGTACACGTCTATAGACACCTGCACCCAAAACTGAAAATATTTTTGATCAAGGTGGAAACCAGCAGAACTGATCTTAGTATTTCCGACTACAGCAAGAGCCAGTCCTATCTTCTCGGGATTAAGTCTGTACAAGGTAGGATATAGTTGAGTGTTGGAGGTATTAAGTTGGAGATTGTTCTAGACCAAAAATGTCTCAACCTGAATACCGTAACTGTGTTTCGTGTGGTATTACCCCCCTAAATTCAAATATGAAAGACTGTTTTGTGCAGAAAATTATAATGGGTTCTATGATTGGTATCTTTGAATTGAGTATAATCAAATACTACAAACAGACTCTTTTTCCATATGTTATGAATTCAACAATAAGTGTATAATTCAAATAGGTAATGCAAATAAAAAAAGTGGATATCAAAAGGCATAAGGATGTCTGCAAGAAATCTTCTTTGGTCTGCAATACAATCAAATATTCCAACCAGTATTTTTCTTAGAATATTTCATCCATACCGCATAATCTAAATTATATCAAAAATATCTACTATACAAACAAAATGAACAAATCGAATACTTATCAAACACTTAATCAGAGAAGCTGACTTCACCAGAAAGAGGAATCTGGATAATTTGAAAAACTCATTAAGGTCTCTCACTTGGAAAAGGTTTTACACAAAACCAGCTTACGGCTTTTTGACTGGAGTAAGGACTATTGAGAGTATACTCGTATCTTTTGGTCAACAGATGGATGAAAACAATGTTAAATGCTGGTGCTGGTGTATAGAGTTGCAGATCCAGGACAGTGATATAAACCTGCTTAGGGATCTATCTTTGCAACCGTATTTCAGGTAGAAATCTTCGGCATTGATTTATGTTTGGAGAGATGGGCAGAAACCAACCTCATACATTAATTGATTAAATTATTCTCGGATAGCCGAGCGGCTTTGCAAGCACTTAGCTCTCTCTTGAGCAACATCGAAGTTTGTAGTGAATTGCTCACAAACTAACGAAGTTGCGACTTTCTTGCAAAAGAGGGTGCTGCAAGCATCGTTGCCAAGTAAACATTGAATACGTGCAGTGCAAGAAATGTTATATAGACTTCTGGCAAAAAGTTATCAAGATTGACCTATTCTTAGGCATTTATACATAAATATGTCACCAAATAATTGTTAGAGTACAACAGGGATGATCTACGTTGTCTAACAGACCCACCCAATGAATTGATCGACTTCGTCAATAAGCTAGTTATAATAAGCTAGTAATAAAGAGCTATTGCCTAAGAATTTTAGGACCCAGTGGCACCCACGGCCTGATGACTTCGACAGTTGCGGAACCAGTCAAATGTTACACCCATGCTCAATCCTTAAAGAGATGGGATGAAATCAAAGGATGTAATCTTGCCAGGATCACCTTGGCGACCCCCTAGCCATGAGGTCATTAAACACATTATAAGAAATGAAATGACTGATATTATTGAATCATACTGAAATATAAGTGGTTTTGAGTTATAATTTTGAGTAATTGTCATTAGAAGTTAGATGCCTCTAACTTATTGCTGATTGAGTTGTTTATGTTTATGTAGTTTACAGCTACAGTAGAGCACTATCATTCCGGTGCCCCTTCAAGGGCGTTAAATTAGCTCTGGCGTTTACAAGTTATGTAGCTAAGGAAAATATACACAGCTGTCGGGCTCGAACCAGCACTCTGTGGTATTATCAGCAAATCAGCTACTCCTTCAAATCGCTTCATCACCAAGGAAGTAATTATCAATACTTTTAAGCAGTTAAAAATGATTACTATTTTTTTTAATAATTTAGGAAAGGTTAACGAATACTTTATATCAGGTGCTTAAATTACAAACTGATTGATTACCTTTTTCGTTAATGCTTTTGATATTTTGGGACTGTAATTGTGAGAAGCGATGAGGAACGAATTTTGGATATTTTGATATATAATGTCATTTTCGATAATAATAGTTTGTTCGAAAAAACAAGCAATTAAAATATTTTCTGAATTTATAGCCGTCTTTTGCATCATTACCTGATTCTCTAATATTGACAGAAGAATCACTTTCCATTTATAAATGTTTAGTTGAGAAGTTACAATTTGTTATCAACTTCTATTCAAAGATCTGAATGTGAAATATAATTTTCTTGGGATGTCAAAATCTTTTCCACAAATTCTCGCTGTGGCTAAATTTATGAGAATGAAATGTAATTTAATGTAAATGTAATGTAATATACCGACATGATTCAATAAATGATTTTGAAAATAACTTTCTGTTGATTCTGTTGGTTTCAAACTAGAAACTCTCATGCTCCGGTGTATACCAAGACTAAGATACAGATATATTAGAAAAAACATTACAATATTTCAAAAATTAATTATTAACATTAAAAAAGTTTGAAGTAATATGGATTTGTTTAATTCGTACATATTTTTTGAATTTCAGTTAATTTATTTTTCTATAAAAAACTAAATGGAAATTTGTACAATGGTTTTCTCTTTAACGAACACACACATATTACTTTTTAGGTATCAATATGAGAGACATGCAAAATTTCCACTGATCTGATGATTTTCTTCTTCAGTGGTATCAGGTTGATTAGTCATATTCTATTTTTTGTACCTGGCTGAATTTTTCATATTTCATTATAATAATCATGGCAATCAGGCAATGTTTTTGAAATAGCCTACTTTTTCAACTAAATAAGAGACTATTATATTTCAGGCAGTTGGAAAAAAAGTGATTTGTTATTGATAAATCCTAAAGATATAACCCTACTTACTTTTTCTTGATCCTCTCTATTCTGTTGGCATCCTGCTGGACAAAAACCACAAGCTCATCTCCAGACTCGGACGCTGGGGTACCAGCGAGAACATCTGGGGTGATCTTCTTATTCTCCTCATTCGCTAACGCCTCGTCAATATCTTCCAATGTATACTCGCTCCCAGTCGAACTTCCAACTGAACCGTGGTTGCTCAGACGATAATAGTGATCGTCGGGATGACCGACGTTGCTCACGCAAGCAGTCAGAGGAGCTAGAGTAGACAAAAACTGCTTCCTGCTCTCGTTGTTGGGAATGACGCCTTTCGGGACCGTCTTTTCCACGACTTCCTGGTGAAACGGACCGCCCAGGTCCGGTAACGTTTGGGTCTGGACCGCTTTCGGTTCGTAGGTAACGTTGTGCGTAAGGGGTTCCAGAGATTTGTCCCCTCGTTTACCGAAGAGGTCGGTGATTTTTCGGTAGGTGGAAGACATCGAGGACGAGTTCGAGCTAGTTGTGGAAGATGACGATGGAGAGAAGTTGCGTTCCTTGCATTTGTTGGGTATCTGGAATCGTGAATGAGAACAATTGATAATATGAGTGGATTATGGTGATATAAAAAAAGAATCAAAGCTTTTCGTGGAAAATTATAGTACGGCCTATGAGTAGGTGAGGAATATCGAGTTTCAGAAAGAAATGACCCAACACTTTTAGTGAGATTTTTACTAAACCGTTCACAAAATCACAACGAAATGTAGATAATAACAAATCAGCTGAGACAAACTACAGCTCTTGAGGAATGTTACCATTGTGATGGACGCTTCTCCTCAAATGAATAATCAAACACGTTCTCCACAAGGCGCAATACATGAAGATTACACAAAGTCTCAACGCACTGATAAAAATATGATAAATCTCATGAAAATACTTCTCCTATACCATAGGTTCCAATTATATCAGATGCTACAAGAAAATAATACTTTTTCTTGGAAAATTTTGTTAAATTGCTAGATGGACTCGAAGTCACCCAACAAGAATAATTTATCGGTATATCGACGTTCCTTTCGAGGAAGAACTTCACATCATTTAAAGGAAGCTATCCAAAGACGAGGATCCGGAAATTGGAACGAATCAATAAGAGAAAGATTATGGAGTGATTAGAATGATGTGTGCGGAATAACTACTTCCAGTTGAGGGACTAGTTCTTCACACAGAATGATAAGTTGACTAAATGTCTTGAATCTGAGATTTGACGACACTTTTGTAGTATGGAACCATAAACAAAACTGGAGACCTTTCATAAAATTCATAATAAAAATGGAATCCCAACATGAAATGCCGATTTCAAACATGAAATTGAATACCTATGACTGGAGTTCTATCCCAACACCAAACCGTTATTTTCAACACCTCGACACGTGTTTAAATCACCAAGTGATCATCTTCAAGAGAAAATTTAATCTTCCTCTTGAAGATGATCACTTAGTGATTGAAACACGTGTCGAGGTGTTGGAAATTACGGTTTGGTGTTGGGATAGAACATTAATATTCATTACTACAGCAAAGGTTCCAAACAGTTCACCACAAGTATGAAATTGGAAGAGCGCTGACAAAGAAGAAATATGAAATCAATTTGAAGAAAAGCATCAACACAATGGGTTTAAAATGGAGCTTGAAGAGGTTGCGTACATGTTGAACAATAATGGATTTAGCCAAGTCAGTGGAGATTCAGACCGAGTGGCAACTTTTAATTAGGCGGCGAAATGAGGTGTAAGGCATTGAATCAACAAGGCTCCACATGACCTGGATAAATCGTGACATCACAAACTACAAACGAAGCAGTATTGCGTTGCCTAACCAATCAGAAAAGAACAGGAGAGGTTTTTAATTATTTTCTTTGGGAACACACCCTAACACAGAGATGAGTAGCGATCCGCAGGAATGAGAATCACATCAAACCGATATAGTCAGTCTTATATGAGAGATAAAGGTGAATAATTGAAAAAAGGATTACTTTTCGAGAAAAAATTCGATATGACTTAGCTTACGCGTGGTATGTGCAAAGTTTGAAGCGACCGAATAATTTTCAGGTGACAACATACTTGTGTTCAAGAATTTAGATTAACTTAAAAGACCAAAAGACTCTATAGAAAAAAATTAACGGCTCTTTTCGAAAGCTATAAAAATTACCTGACTAGTATCAACCGCGTTGCTTCCCTCCTCTCCTGTGGGGCTAACCCTCGCTGACAATTCGTCCGAATTTTGGTTCCCTTCGTCGATATCGCACGTCAGCTGTTTAATGCGCTCCACCAGTGAGTTATCAGTCTTTTGAATATTCTTCCTGCTCTTCGGTTCGTACCTCACCAGCGACCTCCTCAGAGTGTTCCTCTCGATCACCCGCTTGATGGAGTCGTTAGTTCCCGCGCTCTGGATTATCTGAGGCAGCTTCGAACGTTTTGCCTCTTCGAACGCCCTTAGTGACTCCGCAGTCACCAGATACTGCTGTTCTTCTTCTTTCTGCGTCAGCGGCTTCGTGCAAGGGAACAACTGCCTAACGGCAGAGTTCGGCTTCAAGCTATTGTTGGAGATGAGCACGTGGTTGCCCAGTTTGAACGTCAGCATCATCTCCGTAGCCTCGGAGGCAGGGCTTCCGTTCCTGCTAGGCGGTTCGTCTACTTCTTCTCCTTCTTTGCGAGCGACTTGGAAAGTCGAGTCTGCTTCGGGGGACGTCTTGCAGCTGTCTTTCTTCTCTTCCTCAATGAACCGGACGGTTCTCGTAGTGGAAGAGTCGTCGTCTGACGTTGAATCCGTTTTCTGTGAATATGAATAAACAGATTTTTGTAGATCTCCGAAACGAATACAACACTGTAAATTACTCAGAAAGGGCGGATTCGATTTCTAAAAATAAAAAAATGTTGAATTCACAATTGAAATACATATCAAACGAGAATACCATATAAAAAAGTTGGTAATGCATTCTCTACGACGAGTGATGCAACACTAATATCTTTCTTTTCACAAACTACTAAAAATTATAGCTTACGAAGAAGGAACTATTTACGTTAACACTATATAAATGAAAATCATATAGGTCATCCTCGAACATGTTTCTTAGAAATATAACTTGCGATAGTAACAATAGCATTTCTTAACTTTCGCCACTATTTTTTTCACTACCTACAATGATGAGAACTAGTATATTGAAATAACATAAAAAACAACCAACCTATGATAATCTCAGGAAAATTTCCAGCTGGTCCAGATAGAATTCGTTCACAATTTGAAAAATAAACTACATTTCTCCCAGAAAAATATGTGCAAACATTTTTTAATCTTTATTTTTCTACAGGAACATATCGTGAAGTTTGGAAGCAAGATTGTATAACCAACTCATAAATCTGAAATTTCCAAAAAATCATAATTGATGAACACCGACTTGATATTAATCTGGTAGATCCACCACAACTGGTGCAAAACTGTTGAAACTTGAATTGACTTATCTCGTTGGTGTGATATAAACCTGCTTCACATAAATATAAATCAATATTACCAGATAACTTTCTCAACATATGTGAACCCTTATAAAATCAAAAACATTGATCTGTCGTTGACCAATAGCATTCTGGACTTGGGAGTGTTGTTGGATACTAAGGTAACATTTGAAGTTCGTATTTACCACATTGTATCCAAGTCGCTTAAACTGCTGGGTTCTGTTCAACGACATAAAACATACTTTTGAATATTTTTAAAATAATGTAACTCTAAATACTTTTGAAATATTGTATTGTTCTTTGATAAGTAATTGTGGGATATGGATTCTTTTACATTACATTCTATAATTACGAAAGACGAGTACGAAAGACATTTCTATGGTCATATGTATTTATTTAAGAGGACTGACTACAAGTATTCTGATATTCTGTTACTTTTGAATATATCTACTTTAGATTTAGAGCACCGTCCAGCCTAATTTGACTTAATACCTGAAAGAACAAATACACCTGAAAACTGAAATGAATATCAGAAAATAACAATTATATTAAGCGAAAAACCCTGAAATTAAATTCAACAAAATAAAAATAAGCAAAAAATTGACAATTGAGCAATTAAAATAAAATAAAAGTTAAAAATATTTCAAGCCAAGTTACTTCACGACGTTTCGTTGTTTGTATCCACAATCGTCTTCGGGTGATGACTGAACTATTTCTCCGACGAATGACTATTTATAGGTCATTCGAGCGCTTTCATCTATCCCCTGTTCTTTCTCCCCGCTTCATCGGTTTACTGGCGGATGACCGTTTGGCGGGAGTCGACCGTTTTCTGCTTGATTATGGGTTTCTATATGTTGCGTATCTCTACGCTAGCTTAGCTGAATGCATCGTTGGACAACATATATGCAACTTCTTTGAATTTTCTCTCAAACCAATGGTCCTCCCTGTGATACCACTTGATTTTATGTTGATGAGCCCAAACATGCTCTGCTACTCCCGATTTGCTGGTTTCTCTTTGCTGTGTCCTTCTCTTCTTCTCGACAATGCGGACAATGCAGTTAAAAATATTTCAAGCCAAGTTACTTCACGGCGTTTCGTTGTTTGTATCCACAATAGTCTTCGGGTGATGACTGAACTATTTCTCCGACGAATGACTATTTATAGGCCATTCGAGCGCTTTCACCTATCCCCTGTTCCCTATCCCCGCTTCATCGGTTTACCGGGAGATGACCGTTTGGCGGGAGTCGACCGTTTTCTGCTTGATTATGGGTTTCTATATGTTGCGTATCTCTACGCTAGCTTGGCTGAATGCATCGTAGGACAACATATNGTATACATAGTAAACTCTTAAAATCTTTAATGGCCCTCACCTGAATTGTTGGGAGAGGTAGGAGTAGTTTGTTGACTCTGGTCAATTTTCTCTTTTTCGTCTTCTTCATCTTCTAAATCTATCTTTGGCTTATTATTATCACTATTTGGTTCACAGCTATCACCTGAAACAAACGCATCTAACGTAAGTAACAATCAAGTTTCACTGCCTTTTTTCACACAGTTTTCAATGGACTCTTGTACTTTCACACCTTACATAAATATTTACCCATGATTCCAAGTTTCGAAATCATAATTGTTAGAAGAGATTTCTTCGTTGTCGGAGACTTAAGCGGAATAAATTTGTTTCTTATCTGAAATTACTGGCGACGTATATTTATTTGGACTATTGGTTCGATTACAAACTAATTGACCTACTAACGATGCAATTCTATAATGGGTTTCACTTTTTAATCGTTTGATACAGGGTCCTACGAAATTCTTAGAAATATTCAGTGTAATTTTTTGATGACATTATTGATACAAACTTTATCGATCTCTGATCATATAAAACAAACTTCAAACTTTAATTTATTCATATTATTTTCTGACTTCGACAGAACATTCAACTACGTATTTCATGAATTACTGTTGTTGAAAATGGAGAAAAATTATGTGAGGGATATCACCTCAAACCTTTAGGAGTCGTATATGCAATGAAGAACTCCATTAATAATATTACAAGTCTACCAGTCACCATGAAGTCAGGAGTTCCTTAAGGTTCCATACTAAAACATTTACTATTTCTTGTGAATGCCAATGACTTGATGAACTACCTCCATAGCCTTCCCAATTTTCATATGATGTACCTGGGCAGGATCGGATTTTATTAAGCCTCACAAAAAGTACGCAAAAATCTCAATGAACAAGTGGTAACACGGGCAAATAAAAATAATATAACTTTGAATGTAAGCAAAACATTTACAATCAAATTCAGTTTGAGTAATTTGCAAGAGAATTTCACTGTCTGTGAGAATACTGAATTATATGCCGAATCTTGTACTGTAAGCCTCTCACAAGACTATTAATTGAAGTGGACTCCACATAATGGAGGTCTGTGCAATAAGTGAAGTATAATTGTTATGCATCAATGTTCATGGCAACTTCTTGTGATAGGAGAGTTTTCAGATATGAAATTTTGTTTTGGGACATCGTTCAGAAGGAAGCTTACTCAGAAATCTTGTGATTACTCAAGAATAATTCATCGCAGGTTGAGATATAGTTGGACATGAAGAGTTACAATAAGCCTTCTCGAATAGTCTACTTCTGATGAGACTAAATCCATCGGCTACACTTGGCCTTGCAAGAGCTTTCCATCTTTGGACCACCGTTAGTCTTTTTTCATCATTAGATCAGATGATATTCTTCGTGGAGAATTCGCATTCAGTGGATAGGAGAGTTTCAGACTCAACCAAATGAATCCAGCTTCTCAACGAAGTCGATTATACTTCCAATCAACTGGCAAGAGATACTCTGACAAACGCTGGACGCTAACCAGTGCCTGAAATATTCTTATGAAAATTAGTCCACAACAAGGTTGACACACCATGGTACTATTTCCTCAATCTGCTGAGGACCTTATCAGCTGTCAGTCTATGACTACTTTCGTCATGTAGATGAGCTATACAAGTGTGTGTTGTTTGGTCGATATTGGGGTTCAAGGTGCAAGCTTCCTACCTTAATAAGGCGTAGGAGGAGTTTGTGTTCTGTCCCGATTCAGACTCTACTTCAAGATGTTCAAGAATGTAGTGCAGGGCAGTTCCAGAACATATGCAGTTCTTGAGGAGATAATTGAGTTGCTTTCTGACTGCACGACAAAGCCTCTTAGGTTTATTCACATGAACAGAAAAAGTCGATCTTGATTCGATGTTAAGGGAGACGTTTGAGGTCATTTTTTTGGCGTCAAGCTCCTCTGTAGACTCCGGGTCGGATTATTTACAGTCCCAAACCATAGATTTTGGTATGACCATTCAGGGCCTATATAAGAAGCTCATGATCCATGCCAAGCAGATTTATTTTCATTTCCTGTGAATTCTGAATGTCCAAGCACCCAGTATAGACTCATTAGTTTTTTAATATTTTCCCAGACTAGGTTCGACATCATTCTTGGGTTCATCAATATACTTCAGAAGCAGAAATTACGGTATCTTTTGCAACATTACTGGATAAATACTGTCTGGTCCCGGTGACATATGGATGAGTTTGTGGCCTATTTAATCTTCTACAGAAACCATTAATTTTGATTAACATTATACAAATACCAATATTCAGTATCTTATTTTCAGAATTTCTATTTTACCATAATAATTTGCTTCTTTCAGAAAGTTGAGGGCTGTAGGTAGCAAATAACAATTTTATCAACCTTCCGTGTACGTTGAAGAGATTTCGCTCTAACAAAGAGTTCATCTCTAGAAAACAATCGAAACATCGAAAAAAACAGTAAATCTAATTATCTCGTCTAACAGCTAGTGGCACGAAACGAGATAATGAATCCTAATGGGGAATGAGGAGGAGCGATATCAGATATAGCGGATTTATTTGTAACTCTGAAACTGTTTAACAAATTGAAGTGGCGCTCGGCATCTAATTGAAGATGAGATTTAATTGGTCGGCGAGCTCTCCCAGTTCTGGTAAATTAATTAACTGCTCTAAGCCATCGGTTGATGGCTTTTTCACGGGAGAGCAAGCATTTCGAGAGAGATTGCACGAAGCAGTTTGTAGTATTTCTATTTTGTTAAAAAAAAATACATACGAGTTATGTTATGTTTTCCAAAATACCGCTAAAATTATATCTACAAAAGCTTTGCAGAAAACGTCCCAGGCGAAGCTCTCTGGCTTACAGAGACAGGCTTGTCTGGCCATCAGTGGTGCCATCAGTACCACACCGTCAGCGGCTATGAAGATCCCTCTAGATCAACCTCCTCTCCACATTTTTCTGGAGAGAGAGGATAGATGGACTGCATATAGACTTGTGCAAATTGCAAATCAATTTAACGCAGAGTGCAACAGACTGTCGGTTGACACTGGAAGTCACAGCATTCTGGAAATAACTTCTGACTGTATGCCTCCAACTGTCAACTACGAACTGCCTTATAAAGTACTGTTTCCGAGTAGAGAGGACTGGATCCTCCGGGAGAAGGAAATATTAAGAGCAGATAGTTGTTGGTTCACAGATGGATCAAAAACACCTTCCGGTTCTGGTGCAGGTATTTTCAGTCGCAGACCCATTACAGAGATATCATACTGCCTAGGAACCTATGGACTGTATTTCAAGCGGAAATTTACCCTATTGAATTGTGTGCGGAGAGGTTGGAAGAATCCAACCTCATACACAAGTCAATAAAAATATTCTTGGGCAGTTGGAAACTCTTGGCTCCTACGAGCAACTTCTAAATTGGTAGCAAATTGCCAAAAACAATTCTCCTCGATAGGAAGACTTAACAGATTGTGTCTGGTCTGGAATTTTGGCCATACTGGCCTGGGAGACAATGAGTCTGCTGACTCCTTTGCAAAGGAAGGTGCTGCAAGCAGCTTCATCGGACCAGAACCTGTCATTGGCATCGCTTTAGGCTTTGCCAAACAAAGATTGAACACCTGGATGGCAAGAAGATTTATGAACTTCTGGCAGAATCTTTCAAGATTCATTTCAAGGCATTTCTTCACCCTTCGAAGCTTGATACCGCGGTGGTAGTGCGCCAGACTCATGATCGGAAGACCGTGGAATCGATTCCCTCTTCTACCAGATATTTTTCTCGAGAGAATTTATCTGGTTGAAGCTGGGATGATTCTGCAACCGTGTTAGGAATCACACGTGAAAAGGTAAGACCTCTTTAGTCCTTAGCTCGCACAAGTTCTCAACTTTTAAGAGTTGTTCGTATGGTGGCGACAGCTGACTAACGGAAAACCAGATTTCAAACAGATTTTTTTTAAACAGTTGTTGGACAGTAGGGATGAACTACGATGTCGAACAGACCTTCTTACAGGTCACTGTCATTTGAATCATCATATACAGAGACTAGGACTGTCGGAACACAGTGTGTGTCGCGGTATAGGGTTGAATAGACCCATTTACTTTGGACCTAATCTTACCAAAGTTGATAAAAGTTTAAGATCCAAAATGTTCATGAAACTGTTTGATCAGGTGAATAGAATGAGGCAATAAGATCATTACATACATACAAATACAATATACGACAGTTTCGAGTGAAAACCGAAAAAAGGACCATTGCACTGTTTTCAGCAATAGGATATACATTTTTATCGACTTTCTATGTAATACATAGAATCAGTGGCGTAGCTACTTTGGGTGGCAGCCGGTGCGGAAGCTGGTGGTGTCATCAAAGAATTTTATATGATATTGATAAACGCAATGGATCATTTAATATTAATATTGAAAATATTGAACAAAACACAATGAGATCAAACGTACAGAAAAAATATTTTTATCTCACAATTAAAATCTTTCTTTCCTAGCTTTAAAACTGCAAACTCAGAAATAACTTCATCACAATTTATATTTTGCATTGCCCCGTGTTTGATGGATAATATACCAAGATTGCTGAGCCGCGATTAGGTCAATTTTTTTTCTTTTTTTAGCACTTCACGTTTAATAATTCACGCCAACCACTTTACGAAATAAACGAGAAACGATGCAACTGAGACGTCAACTATCGACACTATGGGAAGGGGAATCCCACACGATAGCGTCGTCCGCTTTTGGGAAAACCCCGAATTATACATTGTGCCCCAGCCGCTGACCACCATACTGTAACCATGTTTTTTCTTGTTGGGATATTGGCCTTTAGGAAGTGCCTGAGTGCCTCATCAGTGTCCAACCACTGTCCTGAATGTTTCCTGTTGTCGTAGAGGATCCACTTTCCATCACACGTGACGATCCGATCCAAAAATGGATCATTTCGGTTGCGCAAAACCAAAGAAGAACAGATCTCGGAACGTGACAATATATAAATATAACGTTGTCAACGGTAACTTGTTTTTATTCAATGAATTATATATCTATTTATATCTAGAATCAGTCGATGCTGACACTTCGTGATATAACATTCGTCCTCACAATCAACGCACATATATACCACTAATGATGTCTGCCACAGTAGCAGACGGA